ACACAAGATGTGGTTGCACTTTGTGAAAAATTTCCAATGGACAATCAACTTTTTATGTAATAAAATACTGGAAAAAATATTCTGGCTTTTTTTTTTTTTTTGTTGGGGGGGAGGTTTGTGGTGTTTTGTTGTGGCTTTTTTGTTGTTTAAGATAAGGCACACAGTATATATTAGCATTAACTGTTTTACTAAGAAAAAAAAATCAATTTACAGTCTGACCTACAAGATTGCAGGTGCATCCCCTGTTCTTGAGGGCTTAACTTCATCAGCAAGTAGGAAATTTGATGTTTTAAGTTGCCAGGACCAGGGCTCAGAAGACCCAAGGCAAGTTCAGGGTGCAGTGAGTGAATGAATGCTGGCAATTGAATTTATAACAAATTGTAGAATCATTTAGGTGGGAAAAGATCTTTAAGATCATCAAGTCCACCAACTGCTAAATCCTACTAATTAGGAGATGCAAGCAGTGTCCACAGTCATTTAAGAAGGACAGGAATTGCAAGTGCTGTTGTTACAGCATTGATAAGATTTATCTGTGATGGTGCAGTGATGTTCCCTCTAACTGGCTGTTGCCAGCCTTCCCTCTATCTCCTGGACATCCTGTCTCTTTATACACATCACTTGCCAGCAGGGAAGTTTGTGATTCCTATTTCTTTTTCAGCTTCTCATAGTTTACCTTTAGCTTTGTTACTGTATTTATTATTAGGTGATCTCCCAATTTCTAAAATTCTATCTTTAAGCCTGTTATGACACTTGGGACAGGATTTCTGATCTTTACTTAGAGAGGTCAAAGCATTTCTCTGAACAGTCAGGTCAGCCTTGACTTCTAGGAGACTCAATGTTCCTGTCACTGTTCCTGAACTCTTTCAATTTTCTCCTGAAAAGAAAATCATAAATTAATACAGCAGTTTGCTAAGATACAGAACAACCTACTTTTGTCTGATACTTGGCTGCTGTTCTCGAGGGGTTTATGGTAAGGCTTGGAAATTATTTCTAGTCTTTCTGTGGCTCATTTCCTTTTCTATTCAAGGGGGAGTAGCACCATTTGCCTTTTCCAGAAGGTTTTTTTTTTAATTGCACTGGACATTTATAGAAATTTAAAGAATCTGTGCCTGAATACTGGGAGGCCCCATTTTTAAAATGCCTGTTTCATTGGTACTCTCATGTTTCTCATTACTAAGATTATTGACATCCTAATAGGTCCATTGATACATTTCCATTTGATAGTTCTTACTCTGAGATAAAATTAACTACTTTTGCATATCAGTATTTTCTATCTTTCATACTGTGCCATTTTAACAGGACAAAACCCACTGAATTCAGGTAAAATATCAAATTGCCAGGAAGGCTAGAGCTGCTTGGATTCAAGAAGGAAAAACACTCCACTTGGATTCTTGGATGATGGTATCTTTTCTCCTCCAGCAGAGAAGTCAGGTGGTGTAGGGGATTGGAGCTCTCTGCAGTGCAGGTTTTGATCAGCATTTAAAAAGCTGATGTAACATTGCAATCAAGCATGACATGGTGTGCCAGCCTTTAGCCAAGGACAGCTGGTAAATGCTTTGTTTCTTTCCCATGTATTATATTCTCACTGCTGATACTGGTGTTGCCTGGGTTATCAGTGACATTATATCATTGTTTCTGTAAAATGAAAACCAGATCTGTTAACAACCATTTAAATTAACAGTAATAATTGGTCTTAAAAAAAAAATTGGGCTATATATATTAATTTTTTATTATTATTACATAGACATTGGTATTGTGAGAGGAAGAAACAGGATAGTTAAAGGAGCTCTGAAAGAGCAGCACAGAGGTGACCTGTATCAGAGTTCTGAGTATTCAGGTGGCTCAGTGACTGCTGGGGCTGTGACAATAATCCTATTGGTAACACCCTTGGCCTGGACATGGCATAAAATGGGGAAAGAATGTGTTGATTCTTGACACTTCTCAGAAACAGAAACTTTTTCTTTCTTAGCCCACAATTGCTGTGTCTCTGCTCTGTTGCCGTTGGACAGAAGAGACCCTCGTTTTTTACAGAATAGGGACTAAAATGATCAAATTCATGAGGTTTGTAACCAAAACTTTTTTTTTCCCTTAGGTAATTTAGTGGTACTTCCAAAAAAACTGGGTCCATCTTTACTGCCTATAGCATCTGCTGCTTTTAAAGGCAATTATTAGCTATGTCTGAACAAAGGCTGGACTTCTGCATTGGTGCCATGCTCACTAATTCTGTGGGGAGCACTGACCAGAGCATTGAGCACTCATTAAATCATTAATATTTAAATCCATTTGGGTGCCTTCACTGACAGCAGAGTTACATGTCAACAAGGCTCTGTGTGTGCTGGAAAGAGCAAGGCCTTGGAATTTGCTTGCAAGGTGCAAGGATTGAGCAGCACCATGAAGTGACCTGGATCTTGCTGTAACTTATATAAAGTTTTCTTTGTAATGAGGAAGACAGTTATACAGGAATAATTGTACTGCAAGGGTGTATTGGAAAAAAAATAGTGTGGTTGAGCACATGATGAGTCAATGAAGAAACAGAGGTTTAATATGTGTATTTATGTGATAATTGCTTATTATTTCCCAGATCCATGCCCACAGACCATCCTGTATGGTTGGGTTTTGGTTTTTTAACTTGTCCTCAGTGCAACTTTATTCCATTCAACTTCTTTTGCAAAAAATAAAAATAAGTCAGTTTTCATCCCCCTCATCTAAACTGATATTTCATATAAGTTAAGTGCATATCTTAAATTACACAATACTTTTGTATGGATATTTTATTATTCATCCTGTCAGTTGTAACCACAGCCATACCTCTGTGATTTGATAGTCAGCTGTTGATTTCCAGGTGCTGTAAACCATGTTAATAACTGTGTGGACTTTAGATAATTGCAGTTATAACAGGATGGAGTTGCCAGAGAGATTAATGGAAGCCCAGACATGCAAGTGCTTTGGCATTTAAGGCAGCAGTTGAGCAGGAGATTTTGAAAAACTCAACTTTCTTTGCTTTGATGTGGCTGCCAGGTGGTTTGTTGTGAACTAATGAGCTGTGTAACCTAACAAGGGAAAGGCCACTTTCCATCTTATCACTGATCCTCCCAATCCGTTCCCACATAGCACCACCATTTAAGCCATGTTGGTGAGTTCTCAGATGACCCCAGTGAGGCCTGAAATATATTTCAGCCTTATTGTTATTTTCAGCAGTAGTGATAAGCCAGGACAGTTTCTCTTTCTGGGATGAGAAAATCAACTTTAGATTTGTAACAGGGCAGACCATCCTCAAGAGACATCCAAATGCTGTAGTGGTACCAGTTGAATACTGGAACTGGACTATGGGAAAGCAGAAATAGAAGTCAAATTGGCTGCAATTATTTCCTGGGGTATTGCTATCAACTGACAGACCCTTGGGTTTCAGGAGAGGTATCTGTGCTTTAAGAAACATTATCCTGTACTACTCATCCAACACTAATAATAGGAGAGGAGATGAGGTTACGGTGGAGCTGGGAATTTCATTTGATCTCACATTACACCCTTGGGCAAGGGAGGAGAAATAGTTATTTTTAAGTGGCTTTTCAGAGCAATTTCCCATTGAGTTCTGTCACTGCTCCCTTATCAAAGGCCCCTTTCCATGTCCTATGGAGATACTGTTGAGATACTCCATCTGAGACTTACACTCAGAAACTGGGTTTTGTTTTTAAGTTTATACAGTGCATGTAAGTGTTGGGTTCATCTCCATGGCCAAGGGATCACCACAGGGAGGAGCTTCTGGAGGTGTGTTTGGTGAAGAAGCCATGCAAGAGGAAGGAAGGGTGTAGCTGCAGTGGTGGATTCTACACATCCCTCCCCCATCCTTTGGTCAGAAAGAAAGTGGGGGGACGGAACAGTCTCTGGGACAGCTGCTGAGATGCCCTTTGGGGTGCAAAAAGCCAGGACACATCACAGTGGCTCCAGCTTCTGGTGGAGGTGAGGCACTGGCTGGTCTGAAGGTCTGCAAGGGTTGCATAAAAAGCACTTTGGGGACTTGGTAAAACATTTCTTATGGTCCAGCAGATTTGGAAGAATCAAAGCTCTGTGAAGCAGCGCAGGGAGCATCCCTACCTCCTGTGGCTGCCAGCAGAAGCTGTGAGAGCTCAATTAGGCGCTTGTTGCCCAGAAGAGACTGACAAGGAGTGTGACGCTCAGCTGGGACATCACTGTCATGTGGGATAGGGAAGCGCTGGGAGAGCCGGGAACGGAGCCACGCGGGGCACGGCGGGAGCTGCGCCCAGCGCGGCCACGAGAGGGAGCCCGCGGACAGGGAACGGCTGCGCCGGCAATTACCGATAAATGATATATAATTAATATAATATAATATATATATCAGTAATTCGAATTGTACACAAATGGGCACGGTGAATTTCCAGTTTCCTGACCTGTCATCTCCTCTAATGCACTAGCTCCTATTTTGATACTTGGTTAAAAAATATATGTGTTTGGACGTTAGAAATGCTGATTGCTCCATAAAAAAAAATCCCATTCCGGTTTTGGACCCTACAGAAGGTTTATAGTAGAGTCTGCCCAGCTGGCACCATCTCAGGGTGAAAATTTTACAGTCAAAGTCTTACCTGATGTGACACTGAGATTCTCATAAGCCTTGATAGCCACCCACTAGAAAAACTTTGTACACGTTTTATATATTATTGCCATATATATATATTTACTCCATGTTCACCCTATTCAATGGAAAAAATAAGTTTTGTGAACAAGGGAACAAGATTTTTGTTTTAATCTACTAACAGTCCCCCACCTGCCCCAAATACAGGCCTTTCCAGTGGCTGCCCACTATAATATCCCCCTTCCTAGATCCATTTCCTTCCTTTCCCATCTTCCTCTCTCAGATCTTGCAAGTGTGTGATGGGGCAGGCAGTGAAATGAGCTGAGGTCTGTGCAGACCGGCCAGCAAATGCACACAGGGGGTTGTTTGGCCCCCTGGGTTTTGTCTTTTGAAATAAGTAGGGAGTCAAAAATAAAATAAGAAATTTGCACTCAATATTTATTTTGATAAACAATTGTGTACTCCAAACAACTACATGTTATTTCATTTGTAAGCCACAATCTGTTGGAACCAACGTCCCAAGAGCTCTTGTCATCATAAACCCGACAGTCAATGCATTACCATGGTCTGCGGACACAGAGAGCTTCCAAGTGCAAAGCAGATTATCAGAAAAGACATATTGCTGACCTCCTTAACAACCTGGACAATGTTCAACTCCAGTAAAAATGCTTCATATGTCTGCAATTTAGTTGTCTTAGTGCCATTGTAATAAATTAATAGAAAATATATCTTTTTTCATTGGAAAGTCTATAAGAAAATGTACAAACATCTAACTCCGAAAAAGGACCAGCTGTTTCGGCGACAGGTAAAACAAGCATTCAAACAGAGGCAAAAAAACCCCCAAACATCCAAACAAACAAAGAGACAAACAAATAAAATGCAATCCAAACCCCCCACTCTACCAATGGCAACTGCGTAGGCAAACACGGAAACATCTGCAGTAATAAAACATTAAAAGGGGGTCACTGCAGCTTGTGCAGCGACTGTACAGGATGAACAAGGAACAAGCAGTCAGGTAACTCACTAGTCAGAATGTGCACGTGCAGTTTCTAGAACAGTCAAAGATTAAACAGTAATCGTATGGCACAAAGCTCTTGCTGACTGGTGATGGTATCAGGTTTCCTTCTGTCTTCAGAGCAACACACTGACTCCACCCATGAAGGTCAACGAGAGCCCTTTGCATTTCACTGGCATGGCTGTCCCGGTACAGGGCCACAATGCTCTGCTATCCCTCGAGATTACAGACTGCAGTGATTCCCTACTCCATATTCACAGCATGAGAACCACCCGAGCTCCAAAACAGGCCCCATGTGACAAGCTCTGCCTGATAGAACAAGCTACTTAAAAGTTTTCTTCTCTTAATAAGAGGAGATTTTTAGGAAAGAAAAAAAAGTTTTTTTCCTAGAGCCAAGTCTTATGATTTCACCCTGAGAATTCCCAAAACAGTAAAATCAGAAGCTACACTTCAGCATAAAGGCAGCTGCTCGTAGAAGCTGAACAGACCTGTCAGGGGATAGACCCACCTGGTGTGATCCTCCTGGCCATGTGTACACTCACAGGGAGCAGGAGAGGGGAAATGGTTGTGGCCAGTGAAGCACCACAGAGGGCAACCCTGCCCTGGAGGTCGTACAAAGCCAGATCCCACTCCAGGCACATTCCAAACCCAGTTTTCCTGCCCACCATCTGTTAAGTGCTCAGAAATACTCCTGCTTTGGTCCATCTCTTGAAAGCAAGTGTGTTCCACCAACACTGGTGCAATGGCATCAATGCCATTGGCTCAGGGCAGTGAAGAGGTTTAGATAACCCAGACTGATGGACTCAAGGGAATTCTTGTCAGTTTGTTCCCTTGACTTCATGGATATGGCTCCATTTTGGCCATCTGAGAACATCAGATAAACAATGTTTGTGCGATCATGGTTGAACCACCAGTGAGACTGACTCTTTCATGTTTGGAACAGTTTGTTAAATCCCCAAACAATCATAAGAATTTGGGGAAAAAAACCAATCCACCTTACTTGCCTTTTACAAGTGTTGGCCATTCATTCTGGAAACAGCACAAATGCCTGAAGAACATTCGTTAACAGACTCTTGTTGGGAAGCAGGGAGGGAACACTTGGCTCTTCCTTCTTCTTTTTTTTTTTTTTTTTCAAATACAATACACATGACACTCCATGAATTTGAAACAATTATATAATAAGACTGAAAAGAACATTTCCAGTTTCAAAACCCAGGAGAGGCTTGATAGGAATGTAACTTACAGGATTACCTAAATTTTACTCATGGTTGCTTTGACTTTCAGAATGACTGATCTAAACCAGGCTTATAGAGTACAGCACCTGCCCAGCCTTTGGAATGACACACAAAATCCTTGCTTTTCAGTCTAGCTGCAAGGTAGCATTTTGGATACTGTGGGGGAAAAGCAATTTAATTACATAAATTTTACTTAAGACAGAGCAAAATGAAGTAGCCATCAGCAATTATAATAATCTATGTGGCAATGGGGACAGGCAGGGATAAAGTGGGGAAACAAACCCAAGTATTATTGGCAAAATTGTCATTCTACGCACTTTAAAAGGCTCATCATCCTGTCTTTTACACTTTCCCCCTGCCCTCAGGTTTCTTAGAACAGCCACAGCCTCCAGAGACACCTTCATGGCATTTCTGAGCAACACACAGAAATATTATTAAACACTAGAAGTGCTTTCAGTGTTTTACAAGGTAGTGTTTACTTTCCCAGCTTCAGGAGATGCCCCTGTAGAATCCTGATTCACACTAATCTGCCTTCATTACCCAGGTATTGTTTCAAGCAGGAGGTATGAGACATCCAACTAGTGCATGGGGAATCCCACTTTAATTCTTCAGCTGCCTGGTAAGACCTCTGTCACCTTTCATGCAGGTCTCATGTAACTCTTCCAGGAGGACTAAGACAATAATATCCTTAAGCCTGAGGACAGGATTAGAAAGCAACACACAGCAGAGCAGTCTGATCCTGTTCCCTCTGATGTCCTGGGAAAGGCGAGGACATTATTTGATGTCGAATAAGGTAAGTCTCAGTATTCCTAGCTAAAAACTGGAAGCCCTGAAAGGGGTGGCTTTAACTGGCAACCATAAACCCTCCAGACTGATCTTGAACACTATTATATAGAGGGGAAAGGTTGTATGGGAAAGGCTGAGAAAATACATGTGCTAATTGGCATTGCTCTCCTTCTAGCAGAAATATGTGGTTTCATCAGTCTCCACTGGCATGTTTTGTCTGCTCCTTTTCTCATCTCTTCCCCAACTATGTGCCTTGGGTTGCATGTACAAAACACAACCCAAAGAGCTTGATCAAACCTCACAGAAGCTTTAGGATAAATGCCTACTGTCCAGTCACATTTCCCAGCATCTAGGTAATCGTTCAAATATATACTCTTTCTGCCTCAGATTGTCAACCAGCCTTTGAACTGGCATTCCACATGTATGTGAGCAGCTGGTTACACTATGAAAAAAAAAAAGTGTTTGGACAACTTGTAAAAGCAACAATCCTCGATGGCCTTTAGACCTAGAACTCTCCCTGGGAGAGGCAGCACGTAGGTTAGTCTGTCACAGGGGCGCTGATAAAACCAGCACCTGGTAAGAACAGGTCAAACCTCGCTTAGTAACACGAGAGTCGACGCGGCATCGGTGTGCGAGCCCAGCCGGGTGGGGCTGGCGATCACAGGACACACACTGGTCACAGAGGAAGGCTTTTCTGTCACATGTGGCCACTCTAGCTACTTACAGTAAGATTTCTTTTTGAACAGCAACAACAACAACAAAATGCTACACCTGGTGTGCAGGCTGGCGAGGCGCCTGCGGCGAGCGGTCAGTAGTCCGTCCCATGGGGCAGTGCTGGCAGCCAGGAGACACAGCAGGGTGTCCTCACAACTTCATTTTCTTCACCACAGGGATTGGCAGTGCTTGGTAGATTTTAGCTGAGTCCTCGTTAGTGACCAGCTTCACCCAGACAGGGCGGAAGCTGCCTTTGAAGCCAACAAAAGCCATTTTTTCTGCAAATCAGAGCAAATATATCAGGAATGCATCAAGACTGAGCCAGAAAACCATCTGTGTGCACAGCTATGCCCCGTGGCTGGATGGGTGCAGGTTCACAAGAGCACCCTTGTGCACACAAACTTTGGCAACATGCATTCCTCCAGGTACTAAAGAAATATTTTCCTAATTTAGCCTTATTAAAATTTTATTTACATTTTGTATACTTCCATTAAGTAACAGGAGAAAGTGAGAAGAAGAAAAACCTTTGTAGCAGGCAGCTTCAGCTGTCTGTTGAAGCTCTTATTATTTGCATAGTGGTTATATTCAAACTCCTTTCCTGCTTGGGGAAGGCAGGGGGATGATCACAGAATCCTAGAATTGTTTGGTTTTAAGTGACCTTAAAGATCATCTAGTTCAACTCTCCTGCCATGGGCAGGGACACCTTCCACTAGACCAGGCTGCAACCCATCCAACCCAGCCTTGAACACTTCCAGGAATGGGGCATCCACAACCTCTCTGGCAACCTGTGCCAGGGCCTCACCACCCTCACAGGAAAGAATTTCAGGACAATAGACAAGACCTATATTAGTGAGTATAACATACACACAGAACCAGAAGAAAGCATGCCAAAAGCTCACAGAGCTGATTGGAGCAACGTGCATATAGAGCAGTATTCTACTGCAATATGTGATGCTTTGAAATCAGTATGCTTTGTGCCATAAAGCTGGAATTGTTTCAAGAGAAAATCAGATAAAAATAAGTTCAGACAAGTAAAAAATCCTGGTTTCAGGCACTTAGTGTGGAAAAAGGTCCAATATTCCTATTGTTAAAATGTCTTTTTATTTAAAATTAATCTGGAAAAGCAGACCCCCTAAATCATCTACTTTTAAGAATAACTGCCAGAATCCTTTTTCCATCTACAGTTTTAAACTGAGTGCTGTTATCCAAAGCTGCAGTGGATACAATCTTACAGAATAAATAAATTATTGGTCCCAGGATGTTTGAGCACATGCTGATAGAAACGAGCAAGGCAAAGTTTAGAAGCAGAGAAAAGGTCCCTTTACTGGAACACTGGGAGGGAAATAGATCAAAAGGGGTTAGAACCGAGTTTTTAAAGAGAAGTTACCTTTTAACCTAAGCCCCTCTTCTGCTCCAAGTTTCTCCAGTACTTTAGTCCATGGTCCTCTTGAAATGAATCTTCCTTTAGATGTCACCAGCACTATGGAGCTGAAGGAAACAAAGACATGGATAAACTGATGAAGAGTCAGAACACATTCTTTGCTTTTTTGCCCTGAGGACTGGTGACTCCTGCCTGTGTGACTCTGACACGCACGGACTACAGTGGCTTCAGCTTTAATGGCTTTTATCAGTGCTTTCCAACAGTTTAGTCATATATTATTTTTCCAGTCAGGCAAAACCCATTAGAAGGCAGACAGAAGTCACTTTTTTAAAAAAACAACACTGTTTTCTAGGATGGTTCCAATGTTTCCAACCTGTAGTTCCATCCTGCATTGCTCAGAAAGACACATGCTCTCCCTGGGATGCTCTTAGCAAGTCTCAAGTAATTTCTTATTCTTCCATTAGCAGATTAAACCAGAAGAAATTAACTTCTGTGAGACTTTTGTTGGTTGATGCTTTTCCTTTCAGTGCACTTCTGCTTAAAAAGTTATTATTATTATTATTATTATTATTATTATTACTATCACTGACTTACTTGCATGTGCTCTATTTCAACTCAAAACTCTTTGGGTGCTTTACAAATGTCAAGTGATAAACAAAAGACATGAGGTAAGTGTGCTGAACTAACACAAATCTGTGGTTGCTCGGGTAAAATTTGATAACTGGTTAGGCTTAATTCTAGATGGATAGAATAAAAACTCAAATCAAACATGAAGAAATATCATGTAGTCAGACTTTTCTGGGGAGAAGCACAGGACGCTTGGTGAAGTTAAGCTCATTACATCCTACAAGACCCACAGACACCTCCAACAGTCATCTCAAAGCTAAGTGAGGAAGAGGTTTCTCCATCCAGTGAGTTCCATGGAAGTTTTGCTATTATGTTTTGTGGGGCTGGGATGTTGTCTTTGTTCACCTCCTGATTAAAGCTGCATGACATGAATTGAGCAAACACTTGCTTAGATGAAATTATTTCATTCCACCTTGCGGGGTTTCCATGAGTGTAACTTCCCTGACTCAAATGGCATTTTCAGTCTTGCAGAACAAGAGCTGTGCTGGGTCTGTTTTACAGCATCATCGTGGACACAAGTCACTAAAATTAATTAGGCAGCAGCTCCTGTGGAGCTCAAGCCCTGAGCTCCTGAGGGCAGCAGTTTTATCTTAACACCTCAGCTGGAACTGGAACTGTTCAGGGGAAAATAGCAATGAGTGGTAGCAGAGGAGCAAGTGGAGCAAAAGAGTTATCAGGACCTAGAATAAATGTGAGGTGTTAAAATGCCCCAGTGCTTACAAGGTTGGATTGAGCTGGCAGGCTGGTTTTGACGATTTTGTGAATGCTGAATCACCTCTTTTTTCTTCCTTCAATTCACTAACATCATTACTTTTTATTAAGCATTTCCTGCTACATAAGTTTAAAGTAAATTCACCAGATGTTTTGTTTTCTTATCCCTGGGAAACTCATCAGAAAAATGGATTTGTTTAAAAAAAAAAAGGCATTTGGCCCGCAGAGAGTTGCTTAAATGAATGGAAGGGCTTATCCTTGCTAGGAACACCTCTTCTTACACCCCTAAATCCATGAACCTTGGAGTTGTTTGAGCAATCTCCTCACAAGCGATGGGCAATGGCCCCGACCCCTCCACGGGCACCATCTCTCTGTGCAGCCCCTGCCCTGCCCACAGCGGGGAGGGGGGACCAGGAGCTGCCCCCTGCACAGCTCCATTGTCTGCACGGTTCCCACAGCTCAATCTGAGCAACAAACACTGTCATCCAGCTGAGGGATGGGAGGGGCTCCATGGCCACAGCTGAAGCCTGTGCCCGACCGAATCGGGAAGGCTGCAGGAGTTGGGCTGGGAAAACTTTTGTGAAAGGACAATGATTTTGGGGTTCAATTCTTGCAAACACATAACTGAGTGAGACCTGAGAGATGCTGACCGCTCAACTTCCGGTCCTAATCCTAATCCTAAACCTAATCCTAATCCTATTCCAACACTAATCTGGTTTTGAGAAGACAATGAGGCTCATAAAGACTTAAATACATCTGAAGTCTAATATGATTCAATCTTCCAAAGTAAGAAAGAATCCAGGAGCTGGATGCAGCCAGGATTGAGACTGGATTTTTTGTAAAGCAGGATGATGGCCTCTCTGAAAAGAGAAAATTCTTATTTTTTTATGAAAGAAAAGTGAGCAGCTACCATGTTTCTCTGAAGTAACCACTGTATGTGACTTTTGCAACCTCCAGAATTATTTAAGACAACAGAAACACATCTGATTCCACCTGCATGGCACTCTGCTGAATCTTCCCCCAAGTCTCTAGAGTAAGTGCCAGAACAATATCTTGTCAATCTACCCACAACTATTTCAGATGATTCATATCAAAGCACTCATATTTGTAATAAATGTTACATATCAGATTTCAAATCCAAACAAATTTAATAACAATGAAATAGAATTTACTTCCCAGGAGCACTCCACAAGCTAATATAGGAATAACCCCTTTGGTTAACAGGTTTCTGATGTTGTCCCAACTCTCCTTCCAGCAGATGAAGCCACTGTTCTCCAGGATGCAGGAACATGTCTTGGCTACTTATCAGTCATTTGCAAAACTCTGCATTTCTAGCTGCCCATACTTAAAGTATTAAAGCATCCAGCCCTTAGATCTGGACAGGGAAATGTACAAAGGGGAATGTATTTTATTAGTGGAATTTTCTACTATTTGAGAGAACATGCAGGAAGCAGAAAAACGCAAACTGTGCACATCTGCACTGACCAGTGCTTTATGAATTTAAGTCTGCAGTTTGTCTGTAACCCACAACATAAATGTAGCTCTGCAGTTTATCTGGGGCTCAATCAGTCCCTAAATCACAGAGCCTGCATCCTGCTGCTGCCTGCACACCCTGCACACATTTGGGCTCTATTGGAGTCATCAGGCACAAAAACACATTGCTGGGTGTCTGGCCCATGTTGGGTGACAAAATCCAGGAGAAAGATGAGTGTTATACACCATTCTTGTACATTGCACCTTAGTGACACCAGATTATTTACTCACTGATCTTTGATGTTGTTGACATAATTTTCTATCTGTGCTGGGATTCCTTGTAGAATGGAGTTTTTGAATGTTACTCGATCAACAACTTTTCCATGATGTCCATCAATCACAACCAGTTGGATACCCTCATCAGTGAGGAAAAATCTGACACCGTCAACCTGTGCAGGGGGAAAAGTACTCTTGATCTATCATAGTAACACAATTGCAAATAATTACCTGTAAGAAGCACTGATAGACCTGAGTCATGGGACTGACCTTTCTATCAAAGGGCAGAATTCCAAGTCTCTGAGGTCAAGCTGTCCTGCATTTTTACTAGTAGGGAAAGTTACAGCCTTTTTTCCTTTTTTTTTTTTTTCAAAATACAAATCAGAAGTGACCCGAATCTTACTATCCATGGTGACTTTGCAAGCAAGTTTTCCATAAAGATGAAGCAAGTATCTTAGAAATTCATCCCATTAAGTTCACTGAGAGGATCTGCTCACCTCTATGTATGCAAAGTCATCCTTTAGGTGGAAATACTGTTTCTTATAAGTTTCTATTTTCACTTCTGTTAGGTGGTCCTTGGTCTTCTGTTTGGGAAAAAAAAGACAAACAAGAAGAGAAAAGAGTTTTTCTAGTGAAAGTGCCCATTACCTGAATGCTGCATTTTCCAAAACATTTTAAACCTTGAAATTCAATCAACAGGAAAGCTACATAATAAGCACTGACTTGCCAAATTACATTGCTAATGAAACTGGGCACAATGGTAACCTGCCTGCTTATCCTGTCACTATTTAAATTGTTTCACCAAATGGCAGAGTGATTCTCACTTTACAGAACTGACACATAATTCTCTGAAGGTTTGCTGTGCATTCCTGTTCCAAGGGTGATGAGTGAAAAAAACCAAATAGCAGATAAATATCCCGCCTCCCTCCCCTGAACCAGACTGGATACAGGAGACAGTGTTGTGCATTATATGAATGAGACACTCAGCTATGCAGTCCCCCCTCTGACACTGTTGTTCTTACAGCCTGGAGGAACTGAAGGCCAGGCAAGGAACCTGCTGTCTCTCCAGAGCCACATTCCCTGGACTAACCTGTCTTCCAGCTCATCACTTTTCACTCTGTGCTTTTAAGCACAGCACATCACGTCAGAGCCCCAAAAGGCCAAGCATCCAACTTCAACCCAAGTCTTGTGTGGCTCTGCCCTTTGAGGGCCTGTGCTCTCTTCATGTGCAAGAATCTGTTTCCTATTATTTCATACACCTGAACCATTTCAGAAAATCAGGCACAGGATATTCTGAACCTGGCACAAAGCTTTTCTATGTCTGTGCACACAATATGTGCCAGAACTACAGATTTACATGAGCAATGGTTCTGTGATAAGGAATCAACTGCTTTACCAGTTGTGCACTGGAGAGCTTCTTCGGCATTGGTACTTCCACTATTGGTGTCTCAGTGTACTTGGGATAGGCCATGGCTTCACAGTCACTGACACCAGCTGTCTCTGGGATCACAGCTTTGATCCTTATTCGTTCACAGCCCTTTACAGAGCAGAAAGCAAACTTCTCTTTCTCATTTTGAGCTTTGAGTTTCAGAAACAGCAGCCTGCGGGCAGGAGAAAAAAAGCAAACAGCATCCTTCAAACTCTTGTGAAAAAAAACCCCACTCCCAGTTTTGGTGGACTCTTTCCTGCGTTTTGCAGTGATGTGCATTGAAACCCTTGACACTCATGTCTGCATTTTATAGCGCCCCACACACCACATGCAAATAAAAGGGGATACAAGTCTCAGAAATGGTTTACAGAACTCAGGTAACTTAAAACAGAGAATTAAGATGGCACTTAAACTCCCTTTGAACTCTATTCTATAATTATATACATATATGTAGAAATAGATGCTTTGTATTTTAGGTCATTCTTTCCCATTATTTTAATCATTTAAAAGAAAATAACAGACTTTACACTCAGTTCCTGTGCACCCCTGTCAGAGTGTTTACAAATGGTTCAAAACAAGGGTTGCGTGTGTCTTAAGTTTCATGGTCTGCACTTTGCTTTTGTCTTTGATTTTTTTTTTTTCTAATTTGTATTCACTTGGCAAAGCACTTCCCAGAGTAATTGGCAGTGCAGCAGAGGCTGTGAAGGACTGGCTGCCATGGAAGTCCCAGGAAAATTAAACACTGGTCAGATTCCCAGAAAACCTTCCTGGTTTTGTTGTGATCCTCACTATTGGCATTAGCCAAGTGGCTCACAATTCCAGCAGCATTCCCAAAGCAGTGTCCAAATCAGCAAGGTCTGCTTCCTTACCCAGTGTGCTCATCCCAGTAGTAGTATCCTTTGGTAGGGTATCTGTGCTCCAGTTTCTCCATTTGAGAGGTTCTGTAGAAGGTTCCAGTTTTGTATGTTTTCTTCAAGAGACGGTTGTGGATGTCTGAGAGAATGGAAAATGTCGTCCCTTTAGGATAGCAAAACCCTACTTGAATCCAGTCGTTCCTAAAAATAGCAAAGACCCACATTGTAACAAGTCAACTATTATTTTACTGGACATGCTAGAAGCCAAACTAAATAATCCACTATGAAAAATGTAAGTTAATTTTTTCCTGGACAGTTAAAATTTTCATGGTTTGGGATGAATCAATGCAACGCAAATTAGACATAACAACCATACATTAGTTAAGCAACGTAGGTCAGATCTGCTCCTGACTTCTACACCTGTGACTTCCACACGCCAGGAATGAATTAGCTCTAAACTTCCAAAAATGAACCATGTTATCTTGCAGGGCTTCCCAGGGGAGGAAACAGGAATCTGAGATGTCTAATGAAAAGATGGTGAACCGAATGGACTTCCTGGAACAAGCATGTTCCTTCTGGAAGAGCTCATGAGGTGATGACCTCACCCATTAAAAATGTGTGGTTTACATTATTGGGCTGGAATGTTGGAATTTGGATCACTCACTTGTTGAAGTTGATGAGCCATATGGCCAGCTCTTCAGGGGCTGTCTTGTCCCAGTGGATGGTGTAGCCTTTCCTCAGAGTTATAACTGGCTGATACTGCTGGTAATGAGTGCTTTTGCTTAAAGCCCCTTCCAAGTAGAGTGGGTGATTGTGGTAGTCATTTTTTATTATTTTCATTTTCAGATTGGCTGGCTTGTAGGCTTGGATGTATATCTAGGTGAAAAAAAAAAAAGATCACAAAGGGTTTAATGAACTACAGTAAAACATTAAAGGCCCAGATACTCAATAGATGTGAGCTGGTGTGAGCCCTGTGACCGCAGAAGAGACCTGCATGCCTTTCATTTATCATTAATTTCTTAGGCTTCCTTTTCAACAAAACAAACCAAAAAAAGAAGGCTCATTTCCTCATTCACAGAGTTCAAGTGCATGTGCCAGAGAAGTCTTCAGACAGGCTGCAGCAGGGCTGAGGTGTTCCACAGTGTTAATGGCAGTGTTCAGCAGCAGGGCAGTATCTAACTCAGACATCTGACTTCTGCTGAACAAGGATCCTTCTGTCTGGATTTCAGAAGCACGAAACCCAGCTCAGTGGTTAGAAATTGGCTGTAGTGACATTACACTGAAAGAAACCAACAGTTGCAACACCCAAGATAAAACCAGGCACTCTCAGCAGAGGAAAGTGAGGACTCTCGTGGCAGCAGCACTCAGAGCTCCTGTGGTGGGAAGAATGGTTTGGTGGTCACATACAGGATGAAAGAAAATGAGAGCTGAAGTCTAATTTCGACTGCTCAGCACATTTCCCATAACACTGTGGGCAATGCTTCCCTCCATAAATCAAGCAAAAATAACTAGCCAACAGCCCATGGATTTATGAATATTAATGTGCTAATGCCCATGGAGCTCTCAGGAGACTTCAAGCAGAAGTTGTTGGAGCTGTCAGCAGCCAAGGCCAAAGTATTTGAAAATGTACCACAATATTCCTCATGTTCAAAACCACCTGTGCAGACATGTTGATAAATACACACTGAGCACCCTGAGGAAAGTCCATTTCTAAAGGTCAAGTTTTATAGAGCCAAGGAATTTAAAATAAAATAGAGTGATAATGATACTGCAAAGTAAGCAGCTTTACCTGTGCAAAGTGTCCACTGCAGATGGAACCTCTCCAATCGGGCACGTCGATGCAGTCAGGGTGCTTGATTAACCAGTTATCCTCTTTGATCAGGTACGAGCCTGGATATTCTGACACAGAACCATCTATGTCATGAAAAACTGATGTTTTATCACCATCCATATCCAGATCATTGAACCAGGGGCCAGGTTCTCCAAAGAAGACTCTTGAGGTAATCTAAACAAAACAGTGAAACACATTTTACATCTCCAGAAAGGAATTCATCACTTAGAGTACAAAGCAAAGGATGCCTAGGGTCACTACAATGCCTCAGATTACCCACTTTCTGACTTTATTTGGCACTGAAAGTAGTTTGGACAAGAAATAGTTTTGGGTTTGTGGGTCAACTTCTGCTTGAAGAAATCTATATGCACTAACATCACCATTCTTTAAATGGCCACAGATTTTGGCTGCTCAGCTTGAGACATCGTAGGCTTAATGCTCAATGGTTCTGAGGCCCCATGACTCAGGTGAAGACTGCAGGTCCTCTGAGATCATCAAGCTGTAGTTGATGTGGTAATAAAACTTATGCAGTAATAAAACTGTGTGCTCCTGAAACCAATCATCCAAAGATGAGAGCACCAAAGTCATTTTCAGCTGAGCTGGTCTTATAAAAGGCAGGAACATCACTGCCATTTGGTACAGGCACATTAGGGTTGGCTCTGCCTGCACACGCCCTCTTCATTAAACCTGAAGTCAGCACAGAGCTGGGTCACACACTTAAAAGGTGTGTTTGGTTTGTCAGGCAGAGCAGACACACATTTCCCTGCTGACCACAGGGGAAAGGCTAAAACAACTTGAATTTTAGCCTCAGTGGTGGGAAATTTCTTTTAAAATTCTGGAGGAAGGTTCAAGAGATGAGGCAATTTTACTACAGCCACTTCACTCATTGTTTGCTAATACAGTTTTAAGGTTCCAAAGCCATATGAAGTCATACTGATGTGGGGAACAGTCAGCAACCTCCCCTGGGAAATGGCTGCTGAGGCAACTTTTGACTGATATTTTTATCCAGTATAAATAAATGTCATGTCACCAGTCTGCCCCATGCAATGTGAGAGCATGACTGACCAACACTTTTAGGGGAATTTTGCCTTTCCCATCACATTTGGCACTAGTCAGCACTTTTCCTGACCTGTGAGTGAGTCTGCTAATTTTTTGAAAATTAAGCAACCCAAATAATTTCAGTCCAACCACTTTATTTATTTATTTGTTTGCAATGTTTGGCGGTTGGATTTAACAGCTGCTAGAGGTGAACCTCAGCAAACCAATTAGAACGTATTTGTGCAGGCAAATATAAAAATAACTCAAAAGCACAGGCCCCAGCACGGGTTCAGACCAGCACCCAGAAGTTCATACTGTAATTCAAAGTTTGGCAAATCCTTTTTGGCTGGGCTTTGCTCTCATTTATGTCTGCGGGACTGGAGTCCATGGAATTACCCCGGTGTGCAGGACTGCAGAATTACCCTGTAGCAGCTCAGTTTCACTGGCTATTCCCCAAAATCAGTATTTTCTGCTCATAGGTCAGTTAGACTTTTCACAAAACAGACTTCTGTCTGTTGTTGCTTTAATATTATACTGCTGTTGAAAAAAAAAGGAGCAGATTCTTCTGCCTTTTTCAGTTTCTGAGACAAACAGAAATGGAAATAATTTTCACTTCAATGTCACTAATTTTATTTTATTTTTTTTTTTTTTTGGAGCTGATGCCTGCTTCTGGTTTGCTGCAAACCTGACAGAGAATTGGATTTTCTTGTTACTGTACCCATCCAATTTTCTTTCTCTTAGCTGCCGCCCTTTTTGTTAAACTTCTGGCAAAGACAATCAACAACCTCTTGATGATCTCATGTTTTCTCCTTTTTGCCCACAACTCCATTTCCAAACCAAAGAGGTTTTTCTGAGAAGAATAACTCACAGGAACATCTTCAAAGTGGATGTCGGTGACGTTGTTGTTGGGGCAGCTCTGCCAGGCGTTGTTGAGCCGGAAAGCCAAGGCGCTCGTGTGCCGACCATCCAGGGCCGCGAACTTGCGGAAGGTGCAGTTCTGGACGTTGATGGGTCCATCGTAGAACTGAATCCCTCGAATTGGAAAATCCCTAAAATACATTTGGAGGAGGCAGAGACTTGGTCATGACACATTAGCATCAGGATGAGCTGTATGCTAGATATGAACAGTCCCACAGCACTTGTTTCTCAGCTGCTTTCATTTTTCACGGCCCACAGGATGACTCCTGAGTTCCAGTTTTGGAAGAGAAGGGATTTCCCTCTTTTTTAGGTCTGTGAAGTCCTTTTATCCCTGCAAGTTCAGCTCAAGTTCCTCTGTGTTGAACAGATCATCTTTATTTAGTCTGTGCTCCTCCAGGGAATGAACTTATACCAGTGCCAAAGCATTGACCTAAAGATGAATAAATTCGTGTTTGCCATCAGAAATGAGTTCTGCAGCAGTGAAACCTGAAACTCAACAGAGCTATGCAGACTCCTTGGGCTGAGTAATGGCTGGGCTAAAAGAAGTCCCACCACATCTTTCAAAGGAACCTGGAGAGAAACATTGAAAATCAACTGCAATAAGAAAAAAAAGGATTTGAAAACAAGGAAAGGTCCTACAATCTGTAGGGCTGAGGATAGGTGAAGGGGTAGATTAATGAACCTTTAACAGCCTTTTCTGATATCATCTGCAAGGTAAAGAAGACATAATTTTTCACACAGATTAAGTGAATGAGTTGCTTAAGCTCTTTAAGAGGCTGAGATAAGATGTTTCAAATTTCGTTTCTGACAAATAAATTTGATGCCTTCCTCATATGAATGGTTTCCCTTAGAGAAGACTTGCCTGCTCCAGTGCATTTGTTCTGTCTCTCTGACTTTCTGCACACAACACCCAAAATGAGATATGCCCACATATATATTGGGAGGATATATAAAGGATATTGGGAGAGTCATAGAAGATTGGGTTTTCATTATTGCTAGAGTTAGTAATAAGCCTTCTGTATTGCTACTGACAGCAAAGTTGAGGCCTGCTAAGCTATTTGTTCATTGTGAGGCTACTGTTAGGATAACCATATTTTTAGGAATCACAGCAAAACAAGAGGCCACACACAAAGTTTACTGCCCATCTCAAAACTATTTAACAAAGGCATCAAATTCCTTTGTAGCAGCAACAGTAACAGCAGTGCTGAGGACATTCATGACCACATTTAGGCTCCTAGGAGCCTTCCTCACAGCTGCCCCGGATGGAGACTGTCACATTGCTCAGCCACTGTTGGCCACATGTACAGAAAATGCCCTGGTAGCACACAGTCCTGTTGCTGTCCTCCCAACTCCACTTCCAAAGTGGAGGGGGAAAGGAAGAGGAGCTTGATGCTGTCTTGGCAGCCTGCAAGGATGTACCTGCCAGCAGCAGCTGCACAGTGAGGACTCTGGGATCGGGAGACGTGAAATCAAATCCTTTTTGTGCAATGGTTATTAAACTGAACAGCACTGAAAAAACCACATTGGGCTGAAGCTCGTACTGGGAGCAGGAACACTGAGTGCTTTGATGTGCTGAGCTCAACTTACTGGCTAATGGGCAGGGTCCTTCCTCTGTGATCCAGACCTCCAGGTCCCCAGATCTCATTGTCCATTGTCTCAGTGCCCAGGTTTCCACTCTCACCAACAAACAGGCTGTTCTTGATCTCTTGCTTTGAGCCATCATCATGAGGGAAGGTCCCACCACTAAGAGGGAAGGGCTGGAGGTGAAAGGGCTGCTCACATCCAGCCTCACCCCCTGTGCCCCAGGCTGCCACACAACCTGAGCCACACTTACCTCGCCAAGGTCAGTCCAATGCCATTGTCAGCAAACCTGCAAAGAGGACAGAGATTTTCAGAAGAGATTTGGTTTTGCTTTGGTTTATCATCACTATAACAAGCAAACCAAAGAGGCGGAGGACAGCAGAGATTAATTACTATACAGTGCTTAGGCAGAACTCGGATTTTTCCAGGTTTGTTCCCTGTCCAGTTTTGGAGGATCTCTTTTGGCACATCTTGCAGTATATGCAGATCACATGAAGCAGCAGACATGCACCTGACTACTCCAAGCTGAGCTTCAGACAGTGATTACTAGGCATAGTTTACTTGTCTGATAAAGCTTTATCCCTTTGTCTAATGACCACAATCTTTTCACTGTTAGATAAAAAAATCATGCTTAACTTCCATTCCAACTAGCATTTATTATTTAGTAGTGCTTTGCCTTATGCACACTTCTGTGCTCCTCTGTCTTCATGTATCACATACTGCTTCCATGAAAGAGCTTTGCAAGGGGAACTGTGATAAAAAGAGAGAAGCTTGGCTTCTCTTTCATCAAGAGGAAAACAGAGATCAGAGCTTCCTTATTAAAAATAAAAACAAAAATTAGAATAACTTTCTATTTTGCTGAAATTTCAAGCTTTCAGATGAGATAAATCGCAACTGTTGGTCCATGACTGCTTCTTATAGAAAGGCTACAATGCATTGATAGAGTGAGTCAGTCTCGATGGTGTCTTCACACCAGTGTCACTCTTCACATGCTTATCCCAATCTCGGCAGTAACACGAGAGTAGAGCCCAGCGCCGTGCTGCTGTCTGTAGGTGGCAGCCCTTCCCACCCTATCGCCTGCTCGCTTTCCTGCGTGCCACATGAACGTTTGCGTTGTTAATGCGATACATAAGTCTTTCTGTAGCAATAGAAATGGAAATGACTGTGGCTATAAAGACAATTACAGTTTGATGACTGCTTCCTCTGATTCGCATACAGTCAGAGATTTGCTGCTGGAAGCTCATAAAGCACTTGGTCTTTTAGCACCCTCCATACGCTGCATTTCCTCCATAAGCAACGTGAATGTCCCAGTGACCCGAGTGGGACCTGCGAGGACAACTCCTGCTGGCCACGGAGTGGGCTGGATACTCGTAGGTCATAAGAAACACAAACTACATTGCTCAATATGACATTTCTGACTGTTCTGCTACAGCCCCACTCTCACCAAGACGACTGGTTGCTTTAGGAGGTTTGGGTCACTCAAAGATAAGGCAGTTCTGGCCAGGAACTGGACATCAGATATCAGCAATTCCCACCAGGGTTATCAAAATATGCCTTGTAAAGGGCCTTCTTCCTTTTTCTCCTCTTTCTTCATTGAGATTGATATCAGGAGCCTGGCTCAGCAGAAGAAACTGCAGCAGATCATCTGTTTTCAAGTGCAAGACAAATATCTGCTCTGAGCAGGGCAGGAAATGGCCTTCAAAGAGCACAGCACGTACTTGCCCAGTCTCTCTCCCTTGCTGCTGTGATGCCTAGTTTTATGTCTGCTTTGGCAGTACCTGCTTATTCAGCATAACAGTGAACCACATAAAACTGATCTGTGACCAGGCTGAGCCAGGGAAGGTGATGCATTTTGCTGTTTTCTTTTCAAATCACCTCATTTTTCAGGTAAAAAAATTAGTTATTATTTTTAGTTACTTGCACCTGTGTGCCTACGTGTTTGTATTCTGACCATTTGTGAGCGCGGGTCAACATCACAGAGAGAAACAATCTAAGGGATCTTCAGCTCAGACAGAGCAGGTTTTGTTTGTATAAAACAATGTCTGTGGTTTAACATTAACATTTCATCTTTATTTCAACCTTGGCCATATGAAAGGTGCAATGCGATATAAATAGTCTGAACCACAGCTATGCTCGCCATAAACACCAGGCTGAACTCTTAAGAGTTGAAATAAGGCAAAACTCACTGGCAGTTGTCCAGCCACACATCTCCACCTCGCAGCCAGGCCCCGTGATCCTGATTCTTGTAGGCAATAAAGCGCTCGATTATCGCAGGTTCCCTGGGCTTCAAAGGATCAGCATCCTTGTGTGGACTGTACCTGTAACCAGGAGAGGAGAAAGTTTGGTGAGGGAAGGTAGCCTTGCTCGCTGCATGGCCCTGCTAAACATCTGGTTTGTGGTAACTCAGGAACAGCTTTGGGACAACAGTCCATCCACGTAGCATGTCTAGTCAAGCAGCGATGGCCAGACCCAGCTGCCAAGGGAAGGAAGGTCCAGGCAAGGCAGTTGTCAAGACCCGCTCCAAGTTTCCTTTCACCTTTCCAGTATTGTATTGCTGATATATTGCTGAAAGCATGGAAAGTTTATTATTGCTCCCAAAAGTCTGAGATTCTTTTTTTTAATCCTTTACTGTTATCCTTTAGCATATTCCTGTTATTTAGATAAATATCCTTTTGTTTTCCCTTTTGACCACTCTTATCTCATAACTTTGGCTATACTGTGGCCTTGAGTACCACTGCCAAGTTTTTCTTGCTGCAGAAAGGAATTAAAACATCTCGGAGAGGGGCCGAGAGTATGTCCTTCACTATTCCCACTACACAGGACACATGTACAAGATTTATTAACTCTGAAGGTCTCCATATGATGAAATACTGGCCTGATGTAGCAAAAAAAAGCAGACAGAAGTGGAAACTGTGGCGACATGTGCCCTCAGTTGCTCCCTGTCAGCCACCACTCGGGCCACAGGGTCTGAGAAAGGGTCTGGCTCTCTACAGTGATGCTGAGCCCAGCTGCCATTTACCCAGTCCTGAGGCACAGCTCTCCTTTTTACTGTTGAAGGAGCATCTTCCATCATACTACACAGCTTAGAGAACCTGACAGATGAGTATCCAACGCAGTGCCAGCAACGGATGGTCCAGAGATTAAAATTCATTCCTCACCAATGGATAGCAAGGCCAAGCTGTCAAATTGCTAACAGATATTCAATAGCACTTTGCTTTGCTTAATAAGCCATCATATCAATCTAAAACTGAGCATCAGGCTGATAGGGTTCCAGTAAATGAATATTGCTTTGGCAGCTTCATCACTGTGAATTTGCTTTCAGGGAGAGATTTAGTATCAGCCCTTGTGAATTCCCCAGACATTGTTAAATACAGATATTTTGAGATGGATTCCAATTTCATTCACATCTGTGATAACCAGAGGAACACTACAGGGTACAGAATTTGACTCAGATATTTAATGCTGTAACTGAATGTAGAATAATCTCTCCAACTCTGTAACTGTCCAGCCTAGCTCACAGTTTGCCCCAGCCAGCCCAGCTATAATCATTTATTCAGTTGTTCAGTCTTGACACATGAAAAGTGGAAAATGGAATAATCTGAGCTGCAGCCTATGCCAGTGGGTAATCCCCAAGCATAACCATGACTGTATTATGACTTGTTTGGCTTCCAGGGGTCATTCCTGCCCTTGTATGGCAAGGGAGAAATTGCCTTTTGTAATCATTTACTGTGCCTGTGGCAGCAGGCAGTGTCCCAAGGCACGTGTTCAGCTGTATGGGAAAACAGCATCCCAAGAGCAGGCTGCTCTTCCTAAGTTATTTTTTAGCAGTTACTTTTACCATTTAATTAATCACTTCAATTAACTGAGCAATAAAATAATGTAAATAACATTCACTTTTGAACATCTTTTAGCATCAGCTGCTAGCCAGGGCACTGGGGTGATGTGGATCACAGGATAAGTGATATCTGAGCTCCTGGCTAGGCTCTCCTGGGGAGGAGGACTGATCCTACCCCTGCAATGGTTGCCCAGTGCATGACGACAGTAGTCTGGGTAACCCACACCCCTGAGATGGAAAGGACAAAAGGATAAAGTTGTCATTCTCCCCCTGCTGAGCAGAGGTTTTCAGCAGGTTTCTCTTCCTTACATGGTTTCTTCTGTCAAGAAACCCAGTCGTGGGGGAATGCAGGTTGGGTGCAACTGGAGGTAATTGGTCTGTCAGGAAAGAAAACTATTAAACTTGAGAATATTGAGGTCCTTTTACGTGTCTGGGGGTTGGTAACTAAGTTAAGAGCCAGACTCAACTTCTAATGAGATACAAGGGTGCAGGTGCAGTCCTTACATCAGCCTCCTCACTGGGGCCAGCTTTGCCTGGGCATTCTCAGAAGTAACCAGACCAAAGTAGGTCTGCTGATATGATACAGTCTATAGAGAAATTCCCAGTATTTCTAAATTACCCCATTACACTGCACAGAGGTTGTGCACAGCAGCAGAGATGAAAGATCGTTCTGTGTATTTAATTGTGATTATTATTGCAGTGTCAGATTTGGAACTAGACTGAAATCGGAAATCAAAGCATGAGCTCCATGACATAAGCACTCCCTGTTCAAGCAGGTTTTAAAAGAATGAATAAAATCAATATCATTCCCAGGAAATACTTCAATTTCTAATTCCTAAGAAACTCTTGCAGCAAGTTCTGCCCAGGGGGACTGTTGACCAGGCAGCAGTGCATTTCCTTGCAAAAAATTCAAAAAGTTAGTGGAACACCCTAGAGCACATATAATATCCGTGCCAGCTCAGCTCAGAGCTAAAGAGCAAGGACAAAACCAGAAGGGTGTGGGTGTTGGGGGTCTCATAGAGGAAAATGTAGAGGTGAAGTTAGAAATGTCAAGGTGTGTGTAAGTGAAGACCCTTCCTCAATAAGAGCCACCCCAAAGGAATTGCAGTGATTCTTGTCAGCTTCCTTGGGGGCAATTTCATAGCTTTCAGTCAGTGCTACAGAGAAGCCTTTTCCAAACCAAACTGTGTAAAACACTTTACCTCCCAGAAATCATTGTCAGGATAGGTCTTTTGTCCTTGGCAGAGGCTGGAGTGGTTTTAACGCCGTTATCAATGATCATTCCAGCCTAAAGAAAAATAGAAATGCAATACCACAGTATATTTATAAATATTACAGTTCTTTCCATCTCTAGACTCTACCTCCAGTTGTTCTCCTAATAACAGCTTCTGTTAGTAGCATGTGAAGCAGAGGGCTGCCAGGACCACCCAGATTTGCATATATCCCCCAAAATTGCTGCAAACTTCTAGAACTGCACTTTTCTCATAAATGCGTGTATCCCCATTCACATACACCCTCTGCTGCAGTCTAAAGCCCTCAGCAACACACAGCCCCACAGCCCAGCATGCTAAGGGGTAAATAAGCAGGGAAGGCAATTAGACACAGTGGCCGTATTTATCCCTCTAGAAGCTGTTCAGTTAATTGCTAACATTGGCAGTTGAGGTGTATAATTAGACAAGCTGCCAATAGATGCTCCTGGAGGCACTACTTTAAGAGTGCAGAGGCAGTGAAGCAGCCTGTGCAGAGGGGAGGGTTGCTCTGGATGCCCAAGAGCCAAGTGGGAGCTGCTGCTGGCCAACTCCGAATGCTCCCACGCCAGCCTGTGAGCTGCTTTATCTGCAGACACAAACAAACTCGCAGGAACCTTCAGTGAAACAGAAAGCACAGGGACTAATAGCTTGCAGACCCAAAGAGCTGGAGTGAGGAGATGGTGTTTTTTCCAAGGGCAGCATTCCCGCTGCGTGCAGACTCACCCGGTAGTTGGAATGCGCACGGTTGTTGGAGAACTTCCCCATCGGCACATGTTCCGAGTAGCCAGGGGAGTACATGCCTGCTGAGGGCCCTGTTGGCACGTGGTGCAGAACAAACCAAAAGCCTGTTTCCTGAGGAAGAGAATGGACACCTGAGACTTTGCTGGTCCACATTAGCCCAAGGAGATCTCAGTAAAGCCCAAGACATACTCCAGATTTCAGGACAAATCACAGCCAGCAGCACTGACCTGCATAAGTCTCTGCAGCAAAGAGTTTAATGCACACAAACACTCCCCCTCCCACATATTCAGGGTGCCAGAAGTTAATCTTTGACATCGATATTGAAGTTCTAAGTGAGACTTTTGAAACTTAAAAATCAAATAATTTTTATTTAGTTGCCTAAAAATGTACAAGGAGCGCTAATCTAGGCACACAGGTTTGGAAGCTTTGGAAAGACCACATCTTTCTGTATAAGGCTTGGTTTGCTTGTTTATTTGTCTTCATAGGACAATAAGGAATTCCTGTGGAATTAGCACTAGGGCTGACTGAAATTTCTGAGCACCATTACTGTGCTGCAATCAATGGAATCATTGCCAAAGGCTTCTCTGTAACTCTGCAGTCACATTTATTTAATTTATTCAAGCTGCACACTGGGAATTTTTGTTCAAGCCACCCAGCTCTAGAAACAGCAAGTGACAAGAATTGTGGAGCAAAAGGAAAAACATTATTTTTACTGGTAGCATCAGCCACATTACTGTATGTCTCAGTCAAGCAGTTTTAAAAATGTCTGTGTTACAGAAGCAAGTTTTATTCCAGCAAGAGCCTCCCTCAGCCTTGCATGGTTTTAACTGGCCTGAGCTATTACCAAATAAGAAACTCGTGCACTCACCTCAGATCCAGCAGCTGCACAGTTTATAAGGTTGTTGTGTGGGTTTGCTATCCAGAAGGTGGATACAGCACTGCAGGTCAGGAAAACAAAGAATAACATAAGAATGACATTTTGAGCACACACCAGAGTCACCCATCAACTCCCCCATTACAGGCAGGGCCAATACCCAGATAAGGGGTCCTTCCCAGAGGGCAAAAGGAATGTTTTTTCTTTCTCTTCTCATTCCTTGTGTCCTCTGTGGTTTGACAGAGAGCATGGCCTTATCTCTTAAAACACCAAGTATTAAATGAGGAATTTTGACTGCAATTCCAAGCCTGCTATGAAGCTGTCAGATGTCAATCATGCTTTATGATAAAGTAAATATGTTGTTGCACAAGTCACAGAAAAGAACTTTGCCCCCAAGTAAACCCTCAGGTTCATTAGAGACTCATTTAATCAAGGGACCCAATGAATTGCCTCTTAATGGCTTTCCAAGTGTACCCCAGTACCTGTCTTTGCCAAGAGTTGCTGTGATTCATTAACTTTATTTGCTCGCACTCTCCTGAACGTTCCTTTTGGAACAGAAGGACTTCATTTGTCTAATGCACATAAAAGACTCTTAACTGAAAGATTCCCATTAAGGAGGAAAGACCAATCCATCACTGTCCATTCTGTGACATACAGCATTCATTAACCAACAGTCATGGAAAACACTCAGCACTAACAGCCAGCAGACTGGCCCCCTAAATTGGATGGTGAGATTCACCCTGCTGCAGGGGATGAACCTAGGGAACACTTATGTCTATTTTAATCTTGTCATGAGGGAGTTCACAGGGGCTTCAGGTCAACTGATTCTGCTGATGGAGTTCTGTTTGTGCAACTTTATCAACAAAACACAGCAAATTTTTTGTATTTTGGGCCTGTGACTGGCCCAGAAAAAACCCACGTTTGGATTATTTATAGACTACCTCCTGCTGCATAGGCAAGGGCAAGGACAGATATTTTCACAGTGACCTGTCTTTCAGCCCAATCCTGTTCCTCAGAGCCATATGGACTGGGTAGGTTATTGTGTCATTTGGCACAATCCTATTGTCTTAATTCCTGGAAGTTGCTGCCTGCCTGTGTCTTCCAAGGTGATGGAGCCACAGCTGGTGCTCATCCCCTGTCCCTGTGCTGGGTGCCTTGGCCACTGCCCCAGGGATAGTGTTAGTGCACTTGTACACTTGCAAGCTGGATGAACTCCATGCAAAACAAGCTGCTTTTCTGGTCAGAGCTTGAATTCTTTTATAAAGGAAGACATGTCAGATCAAAGTACCATAATACCTTTCCATTAGAATGCACATATTCATATAACAGTCTTCAAAATGGCACAAAATATATCCCTCTGACTATTAAAAGAATTGTCAGTGGAAAATGAGCACAATGGCTGATTAACCCTATTTTATGAATGGAGGCATTAAGTGTATTTTATAAACAAACACAGATGTGAAAAAGAGCATTGCATGAATTCATCTCTTTCCTTTGCCAAACTAAAAAGTTAAAAATATGTTTGTTTGGACAAAACCCCAGTTTGTTCCGAGGACAGAATGGATGATACTGATACAGTCTCAACAGATTGAGAGTATTTTCAAGTAAAAGAAATTCCCTGAAGAATTTTAGCTGTTAGGCATCAATCAGCTTCTAGCTGTCTCATTTTCAGGATGGAAGTCTGGCTTCACAGCCTTTCTCATTGACTGTTGAAGGGTCAGAAACTTGAGGGTTTTATTAGTGTAGATCCCTTCCTCCTGCAACTACAGCAGAATAAACTTCTGGAGCAAAATCTGGACTACAGGCAGAAGTGTTCCTGTCTCCCAGCAGCTTCAGCACAGCACCAACGCTCTGTTGTCTCAAGACAAATCTTCATTGTGAAAGACCTCCCATGTTGTTGCACAGGGGTCTTGTCCACAAGATGATCCACCATCAATTTTAAACTCTTTACAGGCAAGTTTGATGTCCAGCTTCTAATAGAAAACACTCTGAAAACAATGTGGTTCCACAGATCTGCTCTAGATCTCTTGCTATGCTCCCTACACTCCAGCTGGGGATCTGCTTGCCTAGCTGCTAAACACACAGGTTTGATGTTCAGAGCCTAGTACTCTCTTAAGAAGAGTCTGGGGCACAGGGGAAGAAAAAGAAACCTAATTGGCTGCCTGATATGCATCAAAATAAGCAGGTTCCCTAAACAGCTAGTAATTAGCAATGAAATCATATTCCCAGGTTGACCTTGATTTTGGGGCAGAAAACCCACTGGAAAACCATGGAAAGAAAGGTTAGAGTAGCCTTCAGAGGCTCAGTGAGTCCATACCCTGCCTTTTGACAAGACTAACTAGAACCACATTTTTATTTGTGATGGGCATTTCTCTAACCTGTGCTTTAAAATTACTGATAATGAAGAATCCATGAATTCCCCCAAGAAAAAATTCAAATGCTTAACTCTGTAGCCAGGTTGATTGTGTTTCTTCTGTATCTCACCTGATTTTTCACCTGACACTGCAAGGCCAAAAAACTGCAAAAAGAATTTGCAAAAACTCTTCTTATTGCAAATGTTTCTATTTGACAGATCCGCAAGGACACTTAGAGGAAAGGATCTTGCAAAAAGGGAGATGAAAGGCATTTGGCATTTTTCAAGTTTAATAGATTGTTTGTGGCAAACGAAAGTTTCCAGGAGTTCTCATGGAAACACTTTCATGAGCTCGTGTACAGAAGAGAGATCCAAGGGATGTACACAATCTTTGATCTTATATTGTCAAGTCCCAATTTGATGCTAAACTGCATTTATTATATCACTCTGGTTTCACTTCAGAGTTCGGGCAGACTGTGCCAAACGAATGCATAATATCAATGCTGTACCATTAAACAGTATCTATTCTTCACAGATAACAACTTCTGAATCAATGTGAATCTTTTCAAAATCTGCTGGCATTTGAGATGAGCACAAGTGTCAGTACACAGCCCATTCTGAACTCAGCAACTTTTGGCTGAGCCATTGGGTTCAAGACTCCATAAGACACATGGCATCACTGTGTACTTTGAAAGACAGATTTTCAGTATCTGAGGTAGGAACCATCCCAATGGACTTTATGTAAAAAAGGTTAAGTATGCTCTAGGTGTGTAGGCATCTGAATAGTACAAGGATAAAGACCTCAAGGAAACTGCTCTCCCAGCTTTGGGACATACAGCCCAGAGCCCTACAGATGATTACATAATCACATATACAATGCTATCTGCTATGGCTGAGTCCTGCAAAGAGAAGGAAGACGAAAAGGAAGGCTCCCACTCACCTACAGTCCTGCCTGGGTTTGGGGATGTACCCTGGGTAAGCTCCCTCTGTGATCAGCTTGCACATCCTGCTGTCCCTGTCGGAGGGGAGCAGCGTGCTGGGTTTAACAAGGAGTCCAAGGCAGTGATCAAACGTGTTGCGCTCTTCTGGTCCATCCTCCGTAAAAAAGCAATGGCCCAGTGCATCATAACCCACCACATCCTTCACCTGCATGCACAAAACAAAGGTCAGTGTTTAGGCTTCATGCTTCAGCCACTGTGCAATTAAAACAAACTTTGCAGTGATGGCACATAGGAGCCCCAGTACCCTTCTGAGCTCAGGACCTATAGGCAAAATTAAAAGGAAGATCACTCTCTGCCCTTAAGAGCTTATAGTCTAAGCAATAACTCCAAAACTTAACTAGAATTTGTCATCACCTAGGAAATGCTCGTTCCATTCTTTTGTTGGCCTGTGAAATCAGAGACTTTCTTAGCATGAGGCTGAAAAAAACATGGGGTGGGGGAAGACATTAGATGTTGAAATCACATCTAGGCTCATTCATTTTCATGTGGAGTTGCATGAGCAGCTACGCAAAATGCAACTGAAAAATGCAGCTGAGCTGAAAGAATATTTTTTCAGGCTATCAGAGAGGCGGCAAGTTATTTTCCAGACAGGCTGGCTTGTTTTGGATTTGACATGATCCTTTTTTCCAAGTTGTTGACAGAAGCTTTACTTGACCCTGAGACAAATCAGCTGGTGTTAATCAGCACTGTTCTGGGTTTGGTTTGCATGTTGTTAACATTGGGACACCATTGGCTGGACAGAACAATACCCATCACACCACTGGAAGATCTGAGAAAACAATTTCAGGAGAAGATACGTGAATTTGAAGCCCAAGGCTGGGACTGGGTGGGAAACAACAGCCCCTGGGCACACAGCAAGTGTGTCCAGTAAGTTAGTTGTTTGTGGATATGTCTGAGATATGGAAAAATTAATTTCAGATCTCCACTGACCAGGTGAAGGTCTGGATCTCCTGGGCTCTTTCCTTGCTGTTCCCATCAGTCATCACCCATCAATTAACCTGGACTCAGGAAACTTTTCTACCTGCTTCTGATGAAACAGCAATTGTCAAGGGGCAAAAGACAATATTAAACTAGATGGAAGACCTGTTCATCACAATGTCATTGAGAGACCTGGGTGTTCAAGCACTTGAATTACTTTTGTAAACAGGTCTCAGACTCCTTTGTCACCTTCATGCCTCAGTCTCAAGGCAAGGAGAACCAATTTCAAATAAAATCCCAGGATTAGCGTTGAAATTATTACAAATATGTTTTCACATAAGAGAAAACACTTTTCCTGCCAAATCTATTACTAGCTTACATCCACACAGACTTCTATTATGTATCATCCTTGCTCCAGTGTAAATACTCAAATCTCTGAACACGAGTCATCACAGTAAATTAAACACAGCTAAAACGACCTGCAAAGTAGTGCATTCCTTCAAACTACCTCACTGAAATTTACTGCTAACTTCCCATATCTAATAAAATGATAGATTTTGCAAGGTTTGGGCTTCTTTATTAAGGTGTAAAACATATGTACTAAACTGTTCTCACTCGGAAGAATGAACTCTCTTAGCCATGTAATAATAAAGGTTTACAGGACAGAAGAACATTTCAGAAGAGTGAGCAAACTTTTCAGAAGAAGTTTTCCAACATTTACAGAAAGTCTTTTAACTACAGAGATGTCAGAATTCCACAGAAACTGCCACCAAATCCTATTAGCTTTCTCTCACAGAACAGTAATACTGAAAAGACACATAAGTAATGGTGTCACAACATTTAGATGACAGAAGCAGTTTCTACAGAGAAAGGTTTGCCCCTTTGGCCATTTATCTTTCCAGGCAGCACAGCACAGCACCAAGGCTGGGCCATGAACACCTGCAGTGACCAGACTCAGCTGAGGCAAAGCCCACCTATGTGCACTGGGAGTACCACCACAGGGGACACATCTCCCAGTAGGGTGAGAGAGGGGGGAAGCAGAGAGAGGTGTGTGCACTGGCAGAGGGGCTCAGAGCCAGCAAATGCCTGCTGTTCTCCTAACTCACCCCTGGAAGTCCACAGAATAACAGGAGTTATCAGCCAGGGACCTGATCCCTTAGGCATTTTTCACCCTCTCTTTGATTAACTAATTCCCCTTGTCTCACCTCTCGGTTAGCCCTGACTTGGTTTCCTGGGCATGCTTTCATGCACAAGCCCAGTACTGAAACGTTTGGATAGCAAATGAGATGCTTGTTCCAAAATCACTTTTCTAATGTATATAATTTTTTATTTGATTAAAACCTTGCTAATAGTCCCTAATCTTACATTAACCACGAGTAATTTAGGGCCAGATAATGCCCTTCTGTGGCAAAACATTGCTGTGAATTATAGCTGGATTAGTAAAAGCAGATACCACTGAAGCTGTTTGATGGCTCAGACTCTTAATCCATGAATTTCAGCTCTCCCCTGCATCCTGCCAGACTATTTATTGATCCCCACTGAATTTCCTTTCCCAATGGGTGTTTCTATTTTAGCTTCCACACTGGGATCCAGTGGAGAGAGTAGGAATCAGAATAAAGTTTCATCCCTGGGATTGCAGTGGCGTAACAAGGTGGTTTTTTTGGCCAACATACTAAAGAAAACATTGGGTAATTGTTGCATTTTAAAACACTAATTATGGTGAGAAAATAATTTCTAAAGATTTATTTCCAGAAGGACCCTCTGTGCCTTCCAGATAATATGGATTTGCAGACAAGTGCAGAATAACCCATCAATGAAGTGAGCTAATGTCGAGACAGCAACTTCTAGCAGACTGTACAGACTCACAGAAAAACAGCTGTCATCAGGAATAACTGGATACTCTTTTCTCTTAGACTTTTCAGGATGAGTATCTCTGAAATGCCATGAGAAAAGTGACAGCAAAGCAAGCAGGGAAGCCTGTATGTAAATTACCAAGCTGCTTTAATGACAGTTAAAAACAACTGATGTCCCCCTCCCACTTATTAAAGCATTGGCGCAGGTAGTCTACCACACTCATGCAAGAAGCCCCTCTGAGTTCAACAGTTTAATGTGAAGGACATCATTAAGTGCTGTGCTATGCTGAGGTTTAATGGTCCAGATAGATTTTTTTTTATGGCTATTTCCAAAGTGTGGTTTGTGCACATCATTAAGGCAAATTTTCCCTCAGCAAAGACTGCTTTGGATCCACCTGATCTCAGAGGGAATGAATGTTACCTTGGGAAAGACAGAGCTCATCTCTGTTTGCACAAATGATGTTCTTGCATGTAGAAACAGGTGGTGTTGCCCAAGTAGAAAGACAATAGGCAACTAGGAAATGTATAGAATAACTATTGTAATCATCAGAGACCCATGTGCATGTCAGTGAATATATCTGGGGCAGAAGGAAGAGGAAAGGAAGGAAATGAGTCAGAAAGCAGAGGAGGAGATTGTGGTGGGATCACCTGACAAGTCAAGGCATGGAGCTGCTGATGCAGATGCCTATCTGAGCAATGAAACAACATCTAAGTGATGCAGTGTTTGGAGCACATATTCTGTGACACAACTGATCAAACTTGATCAGATTGTTTTAGTTCATTGGGGCTTTCCTTTTAGCTGTCAGCAATAATTATGAGGTTAAAATAAAAAAACAAGTAAAGTATTAAAAGTAGAGTTCAGTATTCACACATTTTGATAAACTAAAATCAATAGGGATTAAATTCTTGACTAACTAATGTCCTAAATTCTAAGATCTGTCTTGGGTGCCTTTTCATGGAGACAAAGCATGGTCATTTAGGGAATTGTGGTTGTTGAATGACAGCAAGAGAATCAAGTTGCTTTCATCAGCTACATCAGCCTGTCTAAATTTCATCATGCCATCTTGGCTGGAAAAGCCTGAGTACATGGATCCCTACGCCGTGGATGCCTTATGGCATAGCTGTCACCCAGAGAAAGCACAAGAGACAAAGTTATTTCCAAATGCTTTATATGAGGCCATCTATCTGACTGATAGGAGAATGTCTGGCTCTGGGTATTTGGTTTGGCAAGTATTAAGCAACAGGGAATGAAGATGTCACATTAGATCCAGAAGCAGGGCTTTAGCTGCTCTGCAGCTCAGCGGCTGCTGTGCAACCTCTGTGCAGCCACAGGATGTGTTTATGGTGCCACTGGTGACGGCCCACCATGGTGTGACAAATGAGCCCCTGTAAGACCCCACACTGCTGCCCTGCCACTCTGCACATTAATTGTATACTAAGCCCCTGTACTGGTGGCTTCAGATTGGGCAGATGCCATATGACCCTGAATGACTTATATAATTTATGCTGTAGAATGTCTTTTTTCTTCAGAAGCTGTGTTCACTTGGTAGGTTTTCAGGATCGTGTTATAAACTCAGAAGGACAGAGGTCAAACCCAAAAACCTCAGATTCATAAACAGCAGATAAAAGCTGCTCTGCTTCTGAAGCTGTAATTTCAATGTCCTTTGTTCAACTTCTGTGCATTTTAATTATGTCTGTGACTCTCCCTTCCAGTGTTGCCACTTTTAGAGGTATGAACTCCTAGTGCACAGTGACCATCCAGATTACAACTGCCAATGACATGTTTCCACTTAAAACTCTCTTAATATATAGGAGCAGGGCTCTTGATGGTACAAATTCTCCTCTTCAGGGACTTTTTTCCTTTTGGAATACACTGCCATTTCACTGAATGGGTGAGAGTCCTTTGCCTACAGGAGTCCTGCACCATTAAGATTTCCTTCTTGAAGAACATCCAGCCTTCCTGGACTCCTCTGCCCTTCAGGAACTGCCACCCAAGGGATTCTGTCAAACATGTTCCTAAACAGGTCAAAGTCTACCCTTCAAAAGTCCAAGGCAGTCATTCTGCTGACCCCCCTCCTTACTTCTCCATGAATAGAAAACTCTATAATTTTGTGATCATTATGCCCAAGAGGGCCTCTAACCATCACATCACCCACAAGTCCTTTTCTGCTCACAAACAAGAGGTCCAGCATCCTTACCACAAAAACAAAGGCACCCCTACATCTGGGAAGAATCTGACCGTGTTCTTAACGTCTCTGGTGTGCTGTAACTTGTCTGGTAAACATCAGTTATTTTATAGATTTATCCTGAAGGATTTCTTGGTTTGGAGGGCAACTCTGGCACATCAGAGTTCTGTGAGTGCTTGATGTTGTGATTGGCATTGCAAACCCAAACCTTCATTACAGCAAAGATGAGGCACACTTAGAGCTTTTGATTATCCTCTTTAAATAGCAAGCTCTGCCTACAGATAGATCCAACTACTCATTAGAGATGGGCTGGTCTGCAGACATTGCTGCACACAGAAGAATGTTCTGCCCACTCTGAGTCACACACAGCCCTCAGTGCCACACTGGCAGGTTGAAATACTCCTGGCATATCCAGAGCAGGAAGAGTCAGACATTGGCTCTAACAATAAAACACATCATCCTGCAGTAATTGAGCTGTACCCATGCTATGAGGAAATTTTTTTGCTGGTGCCTGTATCTCTAAGGTAGACAGTCAGACTTCTTACCAGTAAACCATTGGATCCATGGACTGTGACACAGCGGGAGAAGGTATGGTGGATGGAGGTGTCCTTTACATACGTTGGAGGGTTGTAGCCTCCTTTCTCATCCACATCTCCAGCCATATGGAAATGAATTGGGTAATGTCCCATTGTCTGCTGGCCCATGTATTTCAGTTCTAGACCTTCAATATGGGTAGCCTTAAAACCTAGACCAATCTGGAGAGCAAAACAACATCAGTCAAGAAACACAAATGCCTTTTTAGGGCAAGAAGAGGGCATAAGGGCATAGGAAGCGTTGCACTGTGTCTGCTAGAAAGATTTACTCTGTGAAGGGAAGGGTATGGCTGCAGGGTGAGGGAAAGAGGGTCATGGTGGCTAAGAGGTGATCTTTGATCACCTCACTGTTGTGATGGCTATATTTAACTTAATTTCAGAAGGAAAACAGTTTTTATTTAATGTTTTCTACAAATTTCAGCCAGCTGGGTGCAAATCAAACTTCCTGGGCTGAGCACTACCAAAATCTGGGGAAAACTGAGATCAGGATGTTGACCCTGTATCTCAGGTGGGTTGGTAACCAGCCTCATTGGCCGAGCAATGTCTGCAGGGGCATGACATGCACTTCAAATCCAAAGGACAGGCAGCAGAGGAGGGTGGATCTGCTGTACTGTGGGGAGAGTTTGTTTGCTCAATGGCTGACACGAGGAATTTTTCTCTTCCTGCATCTTGGCTTCCTTGGTATGTGAAGGTGTGGCTGGAGGGAGGAAAATGCAAGCAAAGGGCTCTAACCCTACCTTGATGTGTCCCCCAAAGGTGTCGAAATCAAAGAAGGAGCATAGCTTGCTGCTGTACTCATAGCACTGCCCCTCCATCTCGCCCATCACCACGACATTGCGGCTCAGCAGCCCCACCTCTGCCCTCATGTCGACGCCGTCAATGACTTCCCCGATGTGGAGGTAGGTTGCTTTTCCTAAGGGAACAAGATCCAGTTTCAGGGTTACTCTGCCAATGCTGCTGGTTTCCCCTTGTGCCTCCCGTGGTGTGGTTGGCACGAAAATGAAAGGAGTAATCAAGTCAGCAAAAAACTGTTGGCCAACACCTCAAAGGAGGGAAGGCTGGAACACAGGTGACACCCAAGTTCTTGCTAAGATATTTGCAAAAGAGGAAGTGGGGTTTTTGGTCTTAAGTTGCTTCATTTAACCAGGGTGTTAAACTAACAGTCTGTTAGGCAAAACACATTTCCTACCTTCAAAAGGGACTGCGAACATTTGAGACTTTTTTATTTTGGACTACAATCAGCTCTGTATGAACATCCAATGCAAAAAAACCTGAGGATGTAGCTACTGAAAAACCTAAATCCCCAAGGTTAGCACAGCATTTCGTACAGTAAGACACTGGGAGCTACTCAGATCCCACAAGACTACTCATGGGCAAGCATCAGTCTGATCCCAGTAACATCACACTTGTTAATGCAAGCAAGGACAGGACTGGGCAGAAAGCCTTGCAGAAGCTGTGGCTTGGGACAATCGCAACCCCTCACCAAGTTTGTGGGCTATAAAAGCTCCCACTTCCTGCCCACCCAAACCTCTCAATTTTAGATCTACCCTCACATCTCCAGCTTGCTCCCAACACTTCCTTCTGCCCTAGTATTGTTGGAGTCAATAGGATTTTCCATTTACCCCATGCCACATCTCCCTTTGCCAGGCCAAGTTACTCATAACATCCTCCACACACACACATCCCTCCGTGGAGGAGTTAAAGGAACAGAGAGCTTTCCCTGCCCTGACCAGAAAGGGGTGAAGTCCAGGCAGTGTGGATATCTGGAAAGCAAAATATCTCGTTGCTGTAATTTCATTCAAACGTATTCCTACTCCCTCCTTCCTTCCGCAGCTTTCTGCAGAGAAAAGCCAGTTGGGAAAAGGTTCATCTTACTGACTACATTCTGTATTATTCCAGTAAAAATAAGTAATAAACTCTTTAAGTAAACACTGAACTTTAAGGAATGCTACACTCGCATGTATTTAATTTCCATGGAATCGTTCAAATCCTTAATTAGAAACAAATGGCAAGCCTGAAGCCTGGCTATCACTGCAAAGCACTTTATGCTTAAACAGAGGTGCCAAGTCAAGGGGAGGATTTTGAACACTGAAATAGCATTGTTTTTAACCAAACCTTGATGCTTTGACTGCATAACAAAAATAAGCAAACACCATTCACTCCCTTTTCTCCTGCAGCTGGGAGCAGTGTGGTTTGATGGTAGTATTGGGATTTGGGAAGGATGAGTGCTCCACCTTGCTCCGAGACTGCTGTGTTGTGGGATGAGGTTCACACCACGACATGTGACTTCTGCCTTGGCACCTCCGCCTTCAAAATAATCTGATCATGTGAAAAAACACCCTCTGTTAACTAGAGGAGTGGTGATGACCAAACAGGGGGATGCAGCTTTTTGGCTGCAGTGGGAAGATGAAGCTCCTCTGAGCTCCGCACTCAGCCCGGAAAGGAGGGGCTGCAGATGGGTTTGCACCTCACCCACTTTTGCAGTTGTCTTCCTAGGAAGCCCCAGGCTTACCCAAGGCCCTGTTGTTGCCCTGAAGCCAGTGAGCCCCACCAGATGTGTGGCCAAAACCAGACCCAACCCATCCAAAAAGCAGCTCTGCTTTCCTTATTCACATTACATGAAAAGAGCCACTGGAGTGAGTCTCCTTCATGTGAGAATACTCTGTGCTGGATCCTTGAGTGAATCTGTTCCTTATGAAACTGGTTTTAAGCTGTTATTTTTCAGTTTTCCTCAGACTTGACCTTTCCTTGATTTACTGAAATGCAGGAAGAAGTTCAGATAATCATAAGAACATCCTATTTGAAGCCACATCTCCAGGATTTGTAGCAGTGAAATTAGATAGGCAGTTTTGTTATTCCTGTGCTGAGCTCTAGAATAATAAATGTCATGCTTGCATGTATTTAATTTAATTTAACACCAGTCCAGACATGCAAAACAGGGTAAGCCCTGACAGGAATGTTAAATACAGACTAACCAGTTTCTAAATATAACTTCTTGGGTGCATGTTTTTCACTTTGTGCTTTTGCTGACTTGACAGGTTTGGAGATAAAGAGAGAGATGGAAAGCAATCTCATTCCAAAGTAAGAGTGGATTTTGAATAATAGCTCCTTTAACAGAGTTTTGAAAAACAAACCTCTCCTCAAGGCAGACAGAAATTCAAGCTCCCCACAGCAACGGGGCTGAAACTGCTTGTGGGAGTCAGAGCCTGGCATGGGAGCCCTTGAATGCTGTACATGCCTGCAAGGAACCAGCACTCCAACACTGGGCACCTCCCATGGGACCAGGAGTACCATGAAGTGCATTTACAGACATGTGGCACTACCAGAGACCTACTGGGACATGTTTAGTGATGGGAATATTAAAAAAAAAAACAATAAAGAGCCTGCTCTGTGCTGAGTTCAAGGAGTTCACCCAGGGACAGGAGTGTCTCACTCTGCAGAGTACAAGTTTGAAATTAGGCTGCTGCTCACAGCTGGCACACAGAGCTTCCCAGAGAGCAGCCAGGATATCTGAGACCCTGAGCACTGACCCTGGGCAAACCCAATCCTGGGGTTTGCAAACTGGCACTGAAGTGTTTTGATACTAAAAAGGCAACACTGTGCTTTGAAGGTGGGAGGAATGTGTCTGCTGCTTCAGCATCAAAGCCAATGCTGCGATTGCCCAACCACTAACAAGCCCAGAGGCCACTGATTCACCTTCTCCTTTGGGCTTGGACTTGCTGCATCCCTCATGGATAGATATTGCCCTGCCAGCAAGCCAGGCTTGTGCCATGTTATAATATAAACCAAACAAAGCCTTGTAGTGACACGGATTATGTCTCCCCACAACAGGGCTGTTTGATGGACTAGGAAAAACACCACCTTGAGTTTGCTGTTGTATCATACTACTGCCTCCAGTTAGCACAATGTAAATTCACAGGGAACAACCTCTTTAATATGTGGGCTTGCTGGTGGAAGTCTTGATTCAGCAAAATATGAGCACATTTCCATGCTTATTACTCAAGACAGTCACTATTGAAGTCACCAGTTGTTGGCAAAGACAAGGTAATTATTAAAAGAAAGTATACATTAAAATAAACATAGATGATTCACTAATTAAGGACATGCTTATGTCAACAAAGAAATTCAAAGCACAGTCTCTCCAAACTGTACAAAGCTCAAGGAAAACCTGCCATACCTGAACCTAGCCATAAAACCTGGCTCTCAGGCCTTATCAAACCTGGGATGGGTGGGATTTTAAAGCTATTTCAGCTTTTACAGACATGGAAGAGTGCTCAGGTCTGGTGAGTTAGACAGATCTCTCTGAAAACCCTCCCAGGTACACTCAGGCATTCCTAAATCCCTTGGCTTTAAATGACACAAAGAGCTAAATCTCCCTTTGAGAAGTGAAACAGGCACTTGAAGGTCTGGGTATGGTGAAGATAAAGTAAAGCCAAGGTTCTCCTGGAATATTTTTCTTTTCTCTAAAGAGTCTTTTACTTTGAGCTCTCTAAGGATAAGACCATGTGTCTCATGCTCTTTTAATGTTTCCTAAACAATTTTTTTGAGGGAAATGCTAAACACAATTTGTCTGCTTAACCCACATAATCCAGTCACAGTGAATCCTTCAGGGCATCTTTAAATCAGTGCAACTCATTGCAGATGCCAGCCCAGACCTGACAAATTTATCATTTTTGCCAAACATTTGTCATCACTGGTGGTAATGCCCCTATTGCTTATATTTAATAACCAACAAATGTTCACAGGGCATCCCTTCAAATCCTCATTATTCTCAATTACCTTGATGGGGTTTGCTGTTGCATCCCTAAGTCCCAAGCCTGTAAGGCAACGCAGCATGGTTTGGGTGAGCTGACCAGCTCCTTGAGTCACACAGTACAATCTGATGTCTTAACAAATAAATATTCCTCAAATTCATAACTTTTACATGGAAAATTAAATTTTCCACATCAGAAAGCATGAAACTTTATAAGTAGTTCAGAGCTAACTAAGCCTTCTTGGGACAGTTTCGTGCTGGGTAACTCATTCTGTTACAACCCTTAATTCCCTTTCTCCTTCAAAATCCTGCCCAGTGTCCCACAAAGCTCAGAAATACACCTTCTGTTGTAGGAGTGTGAAGAGCCTTGTGTTCTCATGGATATTAAGTGTATGTTCAAATGCTGTACTGGATCAAAGCCTCGGTAGCTGTTTGGTTTCAGGGCTAAAATGAGTGGACCTTCAGGCTGCAGATGGGCACGATATGAGGATTGGGGTGGACTGAGGGCATCAGTGCTGGCTTCAACCAAGCACTGAGAGGTCCCTGCAAGGTGTATTAGTGTTTTATTCCAGTGGCAGTGCCACTCCTGTCCCACTTTACACCCTCTTTCTGTAGCAGCTGCTTGGCAATCTACTGACACACTTCTGTAAATGTGAGGTTTTCCCACTCTGACCTTCCAGGTTTTTACTCTCTTTATTCTGACATGTAAGTTCTTGCAGATGGAATGGGAAGATTAGAAAGGTTTGGTGGACAAACAGTTCAAATGTTTACTAAAATCAGGCTCAAACTCAACCCTTCTGAACTGCTATGAAAACCTGAGTATTTCTCTGTCCATTCAGCTTTTAGGCAATGCCCAAAGGCAGCAGAAGGAGCTCTGAAAGGCTGTTAGAAAGGGCTATTTCACAAGATTTCCTGCCCAGCCCTCAAGCACCAGAGTTGAATTAGAAAAAGAGCTTTTGGCAAGTTGCAGACAAAATTATGCCAACTTCTAAATAGAAAACCCTAAATCTCTAGAAGTATCTGAATCTTGATAGTGGAGAAAGTTCTCCCATCCCTCCAGCACCAGATGAATGCTGACACAGTCTGTGAAGTTGTGACATAACTATGTATTAGCATTTTAATTCAAAGTTTTCTGCATGAACAAGATCACAGTAAACTCCGTATCTCTCTAGGATTTGCAACCCAATAAGCATGATTTAGGAGATGTGTGCTTGTAATCATAGATTCATCAGTATGTGGGATAATTGGAGTAATTATGCCAGGCACAAATAGTTTTTTCATCCTTTATCAAGAGCATATAGGAGCACAAAAGAGCATTTCATCATTTCTGTTCCATGGTGAAACTTATCAGCATTGGTAGTAACTTCATACAGAGCAACCAAGATGCAGATAAGACTTGTTTCCCAGGGAAACTAGACAAAATACTTGATCTTTCCTACTATCCAGTTCTATCATAACAACACAACCCTTCCTTCCTTCCTTCCTCCTCCCTCCCTCTGCCCTTCACTGTCGTCCCTCCCCAAACCTTGTGAAGTTGGAAGATCAAACAGTTTTAATCTGTTCCCACAGAGAAAATAATCTAGGCACAAAAATGACAAGCAAGAAAAGTTAAACAAAGAAGAAAGTGGAGGAAAAAAGTTCCGTTTCAGTAAGCGACCATTTGCCTGGGAGCAGGACCTGCAGATCTGGGTCCTCAGGCACACGGCATTTACCCATGGGAACCACAGCTTTGACATTACTGTAGTTACTCCAATAAAGGAGTGCAAAAGATCAGAACTTGGGTGCTCTCCCTCGCCTTCTACACTCAGATTTGCCAAAGTCCACAGTTAGACAACTAAACCCTACTAAACCTGATGGCAATTAAGTATTAATGCCCTTAAGTTGTTTTGAAAAGCTCTAATCAATCCATTTCTAGCAAGTAAAGAAAGTATGAGTTTCAGCAGGAAGTATCAAATACAAAGAGGACATGAGCTAACTAATGAGTTTGACTTATTTGGCACAATATGCTAAATCATGTCTATTAAAATACTATTAAACGATGAGGACATAAATTATATTAAACCTTGGTATGCCAAGTACCTGCCACACCAAATTGACTGTCTACAAAGCAGAGGTTTTCTGCCTTTTAAGAGACTCAAGTAATTCATATCTGACATTTAGGTTTCATTTTTTAAAAAATAGAAAGGAAAAAAAAAATAAAGATTAAAAGGGAAATAAACCATCACGGGTAGGAATGGTTTTATCATTTGTCTTTCAAAGGACAGACTTCTGGAGTTCTCAGCTGCTAAACTAAACCTCTTAGGAAAATTAAGCCATTCCACTTACTACAAATGACATCCCTCTGAGACCCTGTAATATAAATGTGTGGAAGGCTTTACTCAGAAGGAGCAAAGCAATCTTGCATATGTCCATAGCACATACAAAACATCCATGATGAATGTCTTCTGCACACAATTACAAGCCTAACCCAGACCCACAAGGCCACGCTGTGCTGGGGCTGCTAATGTGTGCTAAGACATGGTCCTTACTCTGGCTAATGGCACATCATGGCACAGGGCAGTGGATAAAGTTACACCATGGTTGGGCACAGAGTAACTCGGGGACCTCTTGGCTCTTAAAGACAGGGGACAGCTCAGCCTTGCCCAGGCTTTATTTCATCTAGACTGAACTTAGATTTAGGCAGATTATTTTATTTTCTAGTGTGAATGTGTTTTTGTTAAAAGAAAGTTGGATGTGATTTTTATAACTGGACTAGATTTTGCCTTGATTTATATAATCAGTGAAATCCCATTGACGTCAGTGGAGTTGCCTGGATATAAGTAAGGGGAGACTTTGGCCCTGGTGTTCATGTTATTTGCGGTAATAAAAGGAATGTCCTAATTCTCCTAAAGAGTAATCGGAGACCGAGAGCACAATTACTTTAACAAGTGTTTCCACTGCTTCTTTACTTGAAATTCACATGAACTCTTTTGTTGTTTTTAACCCATTATTTATTTCCTTTAACTAACTTAGCTGTCCTTGTTGCAGAAGATAAATGTAACTACATGAATTTCACAGATCCATTAGATTATGGGAAGCCTAAGATTCCTGTGCCATCTTTATTTGTACTGGTCATCTTCCAAGACCATCTTCATGATGTGACTTGTATCCTACTAGTCTGGGCCCAATAGCTGAAAAGTTGCTCAAGAAAAATATTCTACTTGGAAATGTGTCTTCTCTGAAAGCACTAGTCATTTTAAGTCATAAGACTATGATACATTCGAACTGTGAATAACATTTTTCTTGGCTTGATGAACATCTCCAACAATGAATGGCTAGAGTTCTGTGGGAGGCAGTTGCCAAAGGAAGTATATTTGTACCTTCCAGAAGTAGTTGCATCAGAGATAATGTTGAAGTGGTTCATTTCAGAGAACTGAATGAACTCCCTGGTGCATTGGATGTTCCAAGTGCCCTCATGGTTTCTCAGAAAGATCTTACTGTAAATGCAGACAAAACCTCTGCCTAGAGCAACAGCCAGTGTATAAGCAAAAGATAATGTAATATGCATGATTTACCACTAGGCAGATGCTGCCTCTGAAACACAGCCTCAGCTACTACAGACTTTTATGTTGTAAAATAACGTTTGCTTTGGTAAAGTATAAAAGTAAAAAAATCCTCATCTATTCAGAGAAGAGGCAGTTCATGTGCTACTTCCATTCTCTGCTTATCAGTGTGCCAAAACATGGTTCTAGAAAGGAAAGACTACAGACTCAAGTGGAAATGTAAACCTCCCACCCAGGATTTCACTTTTATGCTCCTTTATACTGATAATAGTCTGTGTCTCATCACAGTTACGCTACTTAATTGGACTCGGTATCTGGAGGCCACTTTACAATTACTGGACTACAATGTCTTTTCATCAAAACAATTTGTCTGCATTTGAGCCAGTCACCTTCAAGGGAAAAATGCTGTGGCTCTGCAAAGGCTCCTGCTCCTCCTGCTCAGACCAGCTCAGGCAGCACTCTGCCAACCCCCTCTCCCCAGTACTGTGGCTCAGGACAATTCCCTGGCCACCAGAAATGTTTGGTTAATACATCACCTCTAAGCAATGCTGTCTAGAGACACAGTAAACGAGAAACAGTAGCTTCAGTAGTACAAAACAGTATTTCTAAAATGTAAGATTACAGTTCTTGTAAAATAAAACTTAAGAGAACAGCCAGCTGGACATTACTTCATAGCCATACAGTCTCTCACAGTCTGCTCCTGCCTTAGATCACTCTTCACATCAGATGTGCTCATCTCCTGCTTTCTAGGAAGTGGTATTTCAAATGCAGTTACTGAAAATTTCAAATACCTGACCTCTATCTGTCCCTCTTAAATAAATACTACCACTCAATAGTGTGCTCGGGGACATAAAATGGAGTCAGCTGTGAAAAGAGAAGGCAGAAAGGAACTAGAATCAAATTAGATGGCTTTCAAGAATGAAAGGAGTTATGTATCCCAAAAGCATCTAAAAACCAGCCCTCAAATTCAAGTGCCTTTCAATTCTTTGCAATTCTTTAAGGAGTCATCTCAGTGCAAATAACAGAATTTGTGAACTGCAATACCAGCACAGTAAGATGAAGAGCCTTACCTGCTACCTTGACCTGGTTGGGCCTGCAGGTGCTGCATGGCAGTACTTGGAACTCCTCTGCCTGGTACATGGAGTAGTCAGTGCTTGCCACCACCAGCCTGTCTCCAGGTTTCCATGAGCTCACGTCATCCACCAGATTCAGGACTGTGCTGTTCACGTTTGTGTCAATGGTTACTGTGAGCTTTGGTTTCACTGAAAAGCCAAAATGGTTGGGTGGAGAATTCAGTTAATCTGATCAGAAAATTCTTGTGACTTTTTTAAATTTATTTTTTAATGCCTGGAATGCCCCTAAAATTATTATTTCCTCAGGGGAAGGGGGAGCAGAGTTAACTCTTCCAAACATGTTTTTTACAAGCATTGGCATGGAAAGCAAGAAAACAAGAAAGTATTTTCCTTCAGTTGCAGGCAGGTGGATTTTCCACTAACCCCAGGACTAAATTTAAATGTAGCTCTTAGTGGCTCATTTTCACCACACCCATTTAGCAGCAGCCCTTGTGGGCACTGGGTGCTGTTGTTTACAGCAGCCAAGTGGTCTTTAATGTAATGACTTTTTTCCAGAAAAACAACAGTCTTCCACCCTTCTTTTCCTGCCAGCTGAGCACCGAAGAATGCCAATGACCTATCTAATGACCAGGTTAGGGACAGTGGTGTTGCAATTAATAAATACAAAATGAAGTATTAATTTCAAAACCTGTTGTCTTCGCACATTCTGATTGACTAATCCTACCTTATCCAAAAATCCTTTTGCAAAAGACAAGGAATTTACAGAAAGGAACTTGCCAAGTATTTGCCATAACCTTTCTGGGTTTTTGGGACACTGCCCTGCTGCCTCTGTTAGTGCTTGGGAATTTTTCCTGAGCTAAATCTTTGGCCGTTTTATCTGAGTTCTTGTCGATAGCCCAGTCAGAGTTTTATCTTGAAGAAATTGCCCAAGTTGTTCTGACACCGAACAAGAGCCAGTCATGGGAGAACAGGATTTCTGCTGTTCTCTGTTCTGGCTTTCAGGTATGGGGCACATACCAGATCTGCCGCACAGGAACCTCACTCTGTAGTTCTGGCAGCCCTCGCCTGTCTGGCCCTTGCCGTGGCACACAAACCGGTAATCGTGGCCACTCTTGTAGAAAACCTCCGTTGTTAAATCAGCTCCATCAAGCGTCATTGCCTGGAATGAGAATGGAAATATAACACAGGTTATTACTGTGAGCTGAAGGGATTTCACCAAAATATCTATGCCATCAGAAGAGGCTTTTGCTGTGTTTTGGGTCGTACACAACCGTTGCATAACAAAACACTGTGACTCGGCTCTCCAGCTGGTGCTCACACACAGCTCCTCTATCCAAAGGCTGCATACATCACTGCTAGGTGCATGCCTTTCTCCTGGGTCTATATTGAGACCATGTGCTTTTTTGGGAGGAGTATTCTGAGCTTCAGTAACATCTGCCTCGGTGCCCTAGATTTTTCTCTTGACATTGGTTTAAGGGCAGATGGAAACGTTGAACACGGATGCTTGCACCCAAATGAACTCATGGTTTCCAGCTGCGGCACTGCACTCCTTTAATTGCTTGTGGCTAAGCTCTGTCTGAACCTTGCAGAAGAAAGGGGCAGAGGTCTTATTTCTTCATTGCATGCATCAGTCTCTCTTAAAAAAAATGCCAAAGCTACTGCAATACCCATTGCTTTAAAAGGAACAAGGAGAGGTGGCTTTTCCTCACAGACAAGTACCTGTCTGTAGAGCTGCCTTAAGAAAAAAGGCTGTATCATACCAACAAGCATTGAGGTATGTAACTTGTCCTGTGTTCCTGCTGAAGCAACATCACCCCTCAGGGTCATGTTAAATTTCACAGTCTATCTCTGTAGCTTGCATTTCTCTCGACCCTTTTACAAAAATGTGGTGCCTTGCTTTGAGCAACCCAAATACCACATGCATTTTAGAAAGGCACCAGGAGATAAACCATCTTTCAGTGAAGGGTCTGATCCTAAGTCTCTCACTCATGCAGACTTTCCTTAATAATGCACACACCCACTGCTGTGTATGGGATTAGCACCATCAGCTACTGGAATGTGCCTCTGGTTGTGCAGCACTTCTGTTATTATCATCATCACATCTTCAATTTTCTTGCATGTAGCAGAGCTGGAGCAGGCCAGCTGCTATAAATCAGTGTAACTTTATGAAAGCAATGAGCAGCACCAGATTACACTACCTGAGGATTTGCCCTAAGATCTGCAGGATAAACTGAAAAATTTCTCGCTTTTAATATACATGAGGGGAAAAAAACATAACTCATTTCACAAAAGAGGAAAAAAAAGGTTTGTTTCTTGAACAGAAGAATATCTTTCTTGTTTCTCTTTTAACATGCAAACTAGAAGGGGCTGTATCGCAACAAACATCTGACCCCTATTTTGAACTAAGTTGTCACTTCTAATACATGTATACGGGAGCAGAAATGAATGTGATTTTGCTAAGACCTGGCATAAAATTATAGGGCAGTTTTTTCCTTTCTGGTCAAGAGAGATTCTTTATAACATCTAGCCCTGGAAACTTTCACTCATACTGTCAGCATTCCCGTTTACTTCAATAGCTGCATTCTTGTGAATAAGGACAACACTAGTTCAGAGCATGCCTTAGACTCAGCCTTGCACAGATATGAAGGATTTTATTGTCTTTCTAGGCAATGTTTTGCTGGAGTTGTTTTAGTAGGTAGACATATAAAGTATATGGTGGACATATTAAAAAAAAAGAAAAACCCTTGGTTTTTCCTGCTGGTTTGTTTTTCTTTTTGTCCTTAAAGAGGCTTTTGCAGTCTCAGAAAAGGTGTATAACTGCTCCTTAGCATTCTGGTCTGATGGCATAATTATAATGTTTAGCTCCAAACAGAATTCAAATTTCTTTCCACAGAGACTCCAAGAAATAGCTGCAAGCTCACTAATATTCTTGACTACCTGCTACAGCTGGTAGTTTTACCATCTCATTACATTTTGTGATTAATTTTTTAGGTAGAGTCCATTCCAGGTCCATTTAAAAACTTTGAAATTTTCATGTGCTTGCTCCTTTTAATCTTCCAGTAGGGAACCACATATTTCATGATAGCATCTGTGCTGTCCATGACCCCATCTGTACTCCTTTTCATGCCAGAATTTACTGAAAGGAGCTCAATTCTATAAATTTTGTCTCAAAATGATACATGACTGAATACCAGATCTCGTTGGTTATGTATTAGAGCGGTAAAGTAATTGGTGTCTTTTATTTAGAAACAAAAATTACTGACAAGCACAATTATTTTGGGGTTCAGTGTCAATGCAAAGAGGACTTGCCCCTCTAAAGTGAGCGGTAAGTCTGCCTACCTGGATGTCAATGGGCTGCCTACAGATTTTATCAGGATGAGCAGCTTTGAAGTCAGACAGCTTTTCCATGTCCTTAGATCTCACTTTATTAGGCTTCTCAAACCACTCTGTCCATTCTACATCTGGAGACAAGTGAAAACAAGAATAGTCATTTGAAAGTCAAGCTTAATGAGTGCAGAAAAAATGCATGAAGCATAATATGATCTCAGATATCATTCACAGGTTTCTTCACTCATGATCTGATTCCCACCTCTTCCTGCCAGTATGTCAGCCACTTTTAATGATGCTGTGAAGTGCAACCAGCCAAGGGAGAGCAGTTATTAAAAGCTACATAATTGGAGGGTGAAGTATGGGCATTATTAATAGATATGGCTTTTGGATCTGTGTCCTCCTTAGCTGCCTTTTCTGATCTTTCCGATCAAGTTGCGACCAGTTACTGTGTGTTGTCTGACACATGGACATGATGACTATGCAGTCAAAAGAAGTAAGAGGTTGTGTGTGATCTCTTAGACCATAGGAGATGGAATTTCATACCCCATGCGGTAAAGGAAAAAGGATCCCAGTTATTCAGAGAGTCCTGGAGACAATTGGGGAAAGAATCTCTGAGTGTTCTTTACTTGGGTTCGTGGCGACGTAAATAGCAGCTAGCAAGTCCGCTCTTCCCAAATGGAAAAGAATTGCAATAAAAAGGATGATTCACCCTATTTGTCAGCTGTCTACCACTGAGTTAAATATCCCTCAGACCTCTTACCTTGAACCCACTCACTCGTCGAAGAGACGTTAAAATGTTCTCCATTCTCAGCTTTGAATAGTTTGAATACTTTGGCCACAGCTGACCCTCTGTGACCTGTTAAAAAAACCCAAACATTAGTACAATCATGCAATCAATAAAAGTCAGAACTGAAAAGGTAATGGCCTGTGTGCGTGTTTGAATATTTTGGCTACATTATCCAAAATTAGCCCTGCACAACATCCAGAAAAATTTACTGATCTTGGAATGAGGCTTCAGACACTTTTATAACTGCTTGGATAATCAGGAGGAAAAATCTGCAAAAATCAAGAGAGGATAACTCCCCTAATTATTTGTATTATATTGCTATTTTTATTTGATGTTGTAGTAAGCCATATTGTTAATGTCATGAGAAGACAGACTCAAAAGTGTTCAGCTTGCAAGAAAATGGTTTCACAGGAGGATTTGAAGCTACAAATTCAGGAAACACAGATTAAATTTTCAACTGATGTGAACTGGGTTTGTTCCATAGCTTTGTGTCTAAGGGAGGCAGTGTCTGAGCTCAACGAAGTTACATGGATTTACACTGGTGTAGAATCTCACCTCTTATCTCAGGATTTGGATAACCTAAGCTATCCCCCACTCAGCTGCTTCAGTTGCATTAGTGGAAAGAAGCAATATGTACAGAGAGAATTCAATTAAATATGTCAAACCATGAATTCCTTAAAGCATCAATGTGATTCAGTGGCAAGTGGAAACACCATCAACCAAAATAATCTCAGCCATAACTCCAGTAAGTTCCAGAGAGCATGTCAAGCCAGCATTTTGTGCATTAAATACCTTGATATTCAATGTGGTCTTCAACAGAAGAGGAGGGATTTCCTTTAATGGTAATAAAACTCCATGGGTGCCTGGAAAATGAGAAATGATCGAGTTATGTCAAGTATGAGATGAGTATTTTTCATAGCCCTGTGTTCTTCCATTTCTCAGGGGCACCACATTCAAAACAGTCTGATTACTGTCACGGGCAGCTTAGTTAAAATTAAAAATATCTTAACACTCCATATTTCTTCAGTAAATATATCAAAAGAGAAGGAAGTTTGAAGACAAATCCCCACTTAAAACACTCCTCTAACAAGTGTGTTTCTTTTTTAAATGAGCGTTTAAAGAAACTTGTGTGTGACAGACCCATGGGACACAGGCAACTCCCTGAGGAGCCTGAAAACAAATCTTTTGTGTGTGTGTATACACTAAAGAATATGAAAAGAAACCACTTCTGCTTAAATAAATTTAGCTCATGCTGAAACCTTGTATATCACAATTGTGTTTGGAATGACCCATGAGAATTTCTAATAGACAGACTGGCTGGCAAAGGACAATAAAAAATACTTAAATAGTCTCTGCATATCTAGTTTCCTTATTTTGAACACTGAACAGGGATGAAGGTTTATGACTCTGAATTGTCTATTCAAATCTGATCCCATGTCAGAAGTTGGTTCATTAGCACCTGATGGTTATTGATTGAGTGGATTCAATAGCTATCACTGGAGAATGACCACATGGATGAGAAAGCAATGGATACAGGGAGTAAATTGCCTCCCAGCCTTGGAGATGAACCCAATTAGTAGGGGTCAGGAGGAATTTTTATCTTCAAAATAGAAGTAGTTCAGGCATATCTGCTCTTAATGACTTAGAGAATAAAAAAATGTGTTTTTAGGATGGTAGGGTGGAAGGGAATTTAGCAAAACCTCCCATAGATTAGATCATTGAATCTATAGTTATAAATATCCAGTCATTTCAGTTGCATCAAGATTTACCCTTGAGTCCTGCAGGTCATCTTATATTGACCATTCACTGGTATAAGCCAAGTTCCAAACCACTCTGGGACTCCAGGAGAAAACACATACAGGCATTGACAGAGAACCACTAAAACACTCACAAATCACCACTGCTGTGAGCTGGGCTTTGCTGGGATTCCCAGCCCTGGGCTTGGGGAGCAGCAGGTTCTGGGTGAGCACTGGCGCACCCCGTGCTGTGCCGTGGCCCCAGAAATGTGCTGGACGCGGCTGCTCAAGGAGAGGGAGTTCCAGCAGCGTGTCCTCAGCCCCAGCACAGGCCAGGCTCAGTGGAAGCTGCCAGCACAACTGCCTCGGGAGCCTGCCAGCGAGCCAGATGCTCCTGCTGGAAAACTTGCCTGTGCGCCAATTGCTGAAGGCACTGACGGGCTGTGATCTCCATCCAGGGAGAGAGGGGGATGGGGGCAGGAAGGACACTTTATCACTCAACAGTCAAGATAGATTTTGTTGTTGTTGTTGTTGTTTGTTGTTATTATTATTAATATTTTGGTACACCAAATTTGAAACATGACCAAAAAAGTGATACCACAAAAACAATCTAAAGAATAAAAGCTATTTAGTTCTGCAACTCAAGGTTTGGCCCCATTTCATGTGTTAAAATACTTGTTTCTCCCAGTTATTTTACCACTAAAAATAGTTTTAAAGCCATTCAACCCTGACCCATAAGGACACAGGCAATCTGTTTGGGCTATGTGAAACGAAGCGACCAGCAAGTCCGGAGCCAAACTGGTGATATTTGGGTGGGATTCCAAAGAGAACACATATGTCATCAAGTGCAAAAAGGCTTTCTCTTCATTTATTAGTAAAAGGAAAAAAAAAAAAAAGGCTCACACTGAAAGAGTAAACATACTTTTTGAAAGGACAACAATAGAGGAGGAATGCAAGATTTTCCTTTCATTCCTAGTGTTCTGGACTCAGCAAACAGGCAACTGAAAAGAGATGCCAGGACCACAGAAACGTTTCTGGATAAATCAGCACTGCTCATCAGCTCCGCTACAGCAAGGGGGAGTTGCACAACTTTACAATCTGGTTGAATTTGGAGCAACTGGAGGTAAAAATTTTTCCCTATAACCCCCACCAACGCCCTACCCAGAAAACAATACAATATACAGTATGGCTCAATAGCCTGACTCAAGTGGCACCTCACAAAATGTGAAACTGAAATTTCCTGAGCCCGGGGCTTACACTGTTATTGTCTGAGTGGTGCCCATGGCCAGCCCCAGCCACTGGCAAGGAGCTGAGAAGGTCTGACAGCCAGGATTCAGTGGGACCAGCCAGCAAACCCCAGTGCCAGGCAGCGAGTGGTGACAGGCAGGTTAGAAATTAAAATCCATTGGCTCTCCTCAGCCAGAGCCTGCCTTGCCCATAGAGATTAAAGTCTGTACATGTGTGTGTCATTTTCTCATTCTGAGCATTGTTTCTTATAAGGTACTTCAAAAAATTTCAAAATTTCAAAGGTATATGCATCCTTATTCATAGGTATAGATGCGTCTGAAATGTAAACCAGTACATTTAAATCTTGTTACACTGAAGTGGAAGTTCAATGTGCTCAAGGAGAAAAGGTTGGATACACCTGACAAATCTGCCTGTCTTCCACTGTGCAATCCAACAGCCTTTTTAAGTCTGGTCCCAGCTGCCATCCAGACGATGTGTTTTTTGACAGTTGATGAACTTAAACTCTGAGAACACTCCTAAAAATATGATATTTTAAATAACATACCAGATATTTTTCCACACACAATTATGCTGGTGGAAGACAGTATTAACCAACTACCAACAACTGACCACATTATTGTACCCACAATGTCTTAATTTATACAATTAAATATTGTGGTATTTCAGATAACAGCATGGCAGGGATTAGCTTTTTGACTGCAAACAATAAAAATGCTGAAAGTCACACTTCTATAGATAAATCTCTATGTTATTTCCATTATAAGCATTGATGGCAAAGTGGTGAGAAACTTGCATTAAAACACCACAGCAGCCTAAAAACATAAAGTACTATTTACTTTTTGTAAACATATGCAAACCCCATCAAGTTCTTTCTGTTGAACAACTGGGGAAAAAGTATAATTTTCAAAAATCATTTTCTGTTCCCCTTATTCCAGTATTTTAAAAAAAACCCAGCAGGCTACTGGGCTTTAATACGGGGTCTGGATATTTGAGAGCAAGAATTGCACTGATGGAGATTGCCTGAATTTGGAGACCATTTTGCAGCCTTGGTTGATTCTTTGAAATGTGTTGTCTGGTGCACAGGAGTCCATGCAGCATTTGAGACAACCTCTTCATCAACCATCCCAAATCTTACTCCATCTGTGTGTGCCCAGCTGACACATGTCTGTTTCCACAGACTGCTGTATTGAATCACTTCTCCCTACAAGGCAGATTTTGTGTGTCTGTGTGTCTGTGTGTTCTGCAGTCACCCTCTTAGTGCCTCATAAAAAAAAAACCTATATAAATTCAGATAAACACAAAAATTATAATGGCTACAGTTGGGTAAATAGCAAGTATTCTCAACAGTGTGTGTGCCAACAGAGACACTGTTTTGGCCACAAAAGTATTTACAGTCCACAGCATAAATCCATGCTTGCTAAATTTCTTTGCTGCCCAAGTCCCCAAATCTGTATTGGACAAGCTGAAGAATGTGCTGTATGTATGTCTAGATGTGTTTAGCCAGGGCTGCACAGCAATTATTCTACCCTCCTTAATGTTCAGCCCATCTAATCCACTGTGTGTGTATAAATATGCCTCTTAAATCTTTGAGAGATGGCTTGAAAATAAATTGGAATATGCAACTTGTGGGAACAATATCTTGAAAAACATCTTTTTTTATGTGAATCATATGCTATTCCTCAATCTGGTAGTAAAAATACCCAGTACAGACACTGAGTGCATCTGAAACTATCTAATTAACTGCTAAAACTTCAGATTGAGTCGTTTCCCTCTTTTTTTTTTTCTTTTTTTTTTTTCTTCCCATGTGAAAGAACTTTGTGCCTTTGAGAGAGTGGAACTATTTGGACATCTCAGGAAAATAATAAAGCCTCTGTGCTGGGAGAACTGGCAGGACTGGCACATACCTAAACCCAAGGTGGAGGAAATGCTTGCTGCCCAGTTTGGTCATTGCTTTCCTGGCCAAGTCATCCAAGTTTCTGGATCCTTCATCGTTCACTGCGACTGAGAGGATCATGCCATTCGCAACTCTGCCCAAATACTGGGCAAGACGGATACTTTCCTCTTTTGCTCTGTAGGTATCAAACCTGAAGTGATAAAAACACCCACAAACATTTACTTCAGTGACCACCACACCTTTATGTACTGAAAAGCAACAGCTATAAAGAAATTACTCTTTTGTATTGTTTACAGTAGTGATATTATCCCATTGCAAAAGCCCTTATCTAACAGGGTACATGAGGGGTGTCTGTTAAGCCGAATTGTTTAAACTCTAGTTGACAGACTAGCAAAGTAGTACCACTACTAACTCTCTGGTTTTGGAGATTACTGATCTAGAAAGAATTGAATAGACATGCAATAACACCCATCTGAACAAGATGCTAAAATGTGTGTTTCTGAGCTTGTTGAGATGCTGTCCCCAACCCATTCCCAAAGATCCTCACATCCAGACAGTCAAAAAGTCACTCACCGATCTGAATGGACAACTGCCCCTGTCTTTGGGTCAATAACATGGACAATGACACCCCGATGGCCCCAGCTCCTTTCAAAGTAATATCCACCTTCTTCCATGCCACCAGGATGAAGAGTCTTGTTTAAGAAAGTCCAGGACAGCTTTTTCTTTCCATGGATCTCAAGAGTGCCACCTTTACCTACTCCAAGATACTTCTGCCCAAAGTAAGGATCTGGCTGGCTGCCGTCATCGGCTCTGCAGCAGGAAGGGAGCAAAGGTTTGGGTTTGTATCTGACAGTCAAGGAGCCTCTCTCCTTGTGCTGCTATGGCCCGAGGGGAGAAGTGTCATGATTTGCAGAGCATTTCTTTCAGGTACTCCAAGAATCAACAGCTGCTCACATTGTACAGAAAATAAATTATTTTAAATAGTACTAGCAACTACTGAAGACCAACAGCAACCTGGAACACAGGTTATACATGCTATATTCATTTTAGCCAGGCCAGAGGAGATCTGGAGCCCAGATTGAGCAACACATCTGTATTTTTGAATTCTGGAGGCAGTTAGGACTCTAACCAGGAGCTAGGAGGTCTAGTGGTTGTTAAATATGAATTTGGCATCCTTGAAATTCTAAGAGATCCTGTAGCAATCTGCAAGACATAAAGATATTATCCTCCAGCTCACCACTCTCATGCAGAAAGAAAGGATGTTTAAGGAGGGGAATTTTCAGACTAAAAGAAATCCTCATGTTTTAAGCCTATTCTGGAAAATCATCTTGAGTGGTGGGAAGGTGCATGCTGATCCTCTGGCATGACCAAGCATCCCAGTGTTCATATCCCAGTAGAAGAGTAAAAAAACCAACCCAAACCTGCATCAATTTTTATGGGCCATTTAAATTGTCTAAAAAGTTACTGAATTTTCCACAGAGCGCCGATATCCAAGAAAATGTAATTTTAAGGAACATTTTTTGTCCCTTGATGTGGAGGAGAGATCCTAGAAAGTTCAAAGATAATATTTAACATGCATACATACCGCCCATATAAGATGATATCCACATTGCCTTGGTAAGGGCACAGCTCACTGCCAATGTGTAACTCTCCATCATTTTCAATGAGTATATGTCTGGTACGCAGAGTGATAGGCTGCACATCGTCTTTAATGACCAGTTTTCCTAAGTAGAAAAGGTTACAACATTTGCTTTATCAGAGGTTGTGGTATCATTGTGCCAAACCCAGTGTTGGGCTCTCATCCCAATTTTTGAAAAATTCTGCTCGTCCACCCAAAACAGCTCTCAATACAAATCCTGAAGACATTACACATTTTCTATTCAGTGCAGGTCTTGAAGAATGCAATTAAGATTTGTGTGGAAGAGGACTCGTTCAAAACTGAGAAAGAAATTCAGAGTTAAGATGAATAAAAGCTATTAATGGCAGTAACACTGACTCTGTCCTTGAAGACTTGGAGGCACATATGCATCTGTCTGTTCTGAGGCCCTGAGAACACAACTATTGCAGTATGATGTTATCAGGCCAGTGATTTAATAAAAAAATGCTTTTGAATCAAATCACAGAAGTAGAACTGATCATTTTTCTGAGATACTTTTGTAAATTCTCCAGAAAGGACAGAAAATAGGTTGGTTATAACAGCTAAAGAGTCTCAGAATCTCAGCTGCCACCCAGCCTGGGACTGAGGTAAAGCTATGTTTGCCCAGTAGCCACCCACTTCTCAACAAGAAGCAGGAAGCTCTCCCAGCATGATACAGAGTGATGTAAGCAGCCACAGTGGAAAGCAGACTTCCCCCAGCCTTGCCACCAGCACGTTTTACCTCCATTGGTGATGTGGATAGAGTGGACAGTTGCAGAAGAGGAGAGAAGGAGCTTCCTGCCATTACTGATTTCAACATGGTTTTCTTCATTGTGACCTGGATTCCAGTTTTCTAATTCAGGATCTTTGTCAGGACATGTGACAGCTGCTTCTGCTGGGTAGGATGCAGAGTGAAGACAATCACCATTTGTTTGGTGTGAGACAGAAAGCTCCATATCTGGACATCTTTACAGTATCATTCCCAGTACCCCCCTTTGCTGGCTCTCTGGAACACAGCAATATCTCAGTGCAGCAGAGTACATGTGGATCACGACCAAAAGAAAACAAACAGCAGCTTAAGCTGTATGGTTTTCTGTTTTCTGGAAGCATGGAAAATCCCAATGCAAAGAAGCCTTGCAAGGGATGGGATTTCTAGAAAACTATGAAGAAGGGGTTGTAACTGAGCCCTTCCTGCGGTGACATTCAGATCTGTTCATACCATCCCGACACAAAGCCTTTCACAAGCCCAGAGAAGGTGTTGATGAAAGAATAAAACAACTACTATCTTTAAAAATGCCCCCAAAGCACTTGCTTTATTTAATGTAAAGATGTTAAAATTTGGTTGCATTCTGTATTTTCACTGGAGATGGAAAGTAAAAGAGCTCAAACTAACATGAAAACAGCAAACACCAAGGAATTACCAGTACATCCAGTAAGAGAGAGCAACAGGAATCTCACAAGAGAGTGTGTACGGGTTTGTGAGCTTTTCCAGGCAGAAGCAGTAAGGATTCATTCAGTTTAGGATCACACATCACCAGTCTCCACACACTAATTTGATGATGAGCTGCCATGACGTTAGTCTAAACAGCTCTCATACCAAATCCAAGAGTCTCATGTTGTTAAGTATTAACTTAAGGTAAAATATTTCCCTGATACACCTCAGTCTATATGTGAGCCTCATGTCTTACTCTAATCAACAAAAGTGCAATGAGAGTCTCATGTGTGATGCATATTTTCTGAGGGTAGAACCCTTCCTAATCCTAGGAAGCTGAGGTCAGTGGAAGTTTGAACAATGAGCCCTTTGCCTTTAGAAATGGCTGGGAGTTCTCACCAGCTTTCTGACAAAAGCACCATAGAGAAAACTACAGGATCAACAAATCAGTGATGATAGACATGGGATAAACACCTTGACCTCAGCAGGTTATGTCTCTGGCACTTAATATGGTAAAGTTGGGTGGGTTTTGCCCCACAGATAGTGATGCATTCACTTATTGGAAAGGACAATGACGTGAATCCATGCAAGGAAACATTCCCTGGTGCTAGTGTAGTTGACAGCCAGTTGTTTTTGTGCTGCCACTGAAACTTGAAGGACATCTGTAATTCCACAGAAACGGAAACAAAATCTGTCCATCTGCATTCAGTTTCCTCTCACATTCCTCCACCAGCTTCATGTCTTAAGAAAACAGTAGAATTGCACCAGCCATGGCCTTAATGTCTCCAGAGCTCCATTAAATACCATCTATTCAAGGTAAGCAAGGGATGTTTCATGTGGGCTACATATGCCTTGGCTCTCTGCAAACTTTTTCCATATACATTAAGAAATCAAATCAGAGAGGGCCAATAATCTACCAGATAGCAAGTCAGATACTGATAAACATCCAGGAACTGATTTTGATACCATTTGTGTCAGCTGGAAGCTGGAAATGTATCAGTAATGTCAGGGTCACTTTTTCCAATTTACAGTAATTAAGAAAAATAAGAAGGTGTTTCTGGGTTCCTACCAGAATACACACAGAATTAATAAAAGTGAGAAAAGATAAATATTTCAGACAGGAAACGGGGCTTAGATGTTCAAATGGAACTATAATACACACTGACAATAAAACTAAAAACAAAAAGAAAAAGACCTGTTTTTTCTCTGGGAATAAGGATAATAGAAAAATTTGCTTATGATGAGAAGTGATATAAAACCAAAAGAATCAATTCAAATGCAGAGGTATAATTTATCAGCTAGATGAAGTGGACAGGACAAAAACCTTGTTCATTTTTCCAGTTACTGGTTATGCCAGTATCCAAAGATGGCTTGTGCCCCCAAATTCATTATTTTGAAACAGAGAGGTAGACAGTGAAGCCTAAAGGGAAATCAAGAGGAATTTATGCTGATGTTTGGGACAACAATCAGCAAAAGTCAGCGCAACCCAGAACAAAGGACCCAAATTCCCAATTTCATTAACCAATTTGTACCAGGAGCTGTGCACATCACCCACATCTGCTGCGCCAAGGACACCGTCAGGCTGAGCATCTTCTGCCAGCTGGTCCAGCTACCTTGACAGCTTGATTATTACTCTCATTGTCATTTTTTAAATAAAAGTGCAAATTCTACCCAGCATGAGGAATTAACTGAATGTTTGCTTCTTGACCAAAAGGGCCTGAGCATGACAATGGAAGGTTTCTTCATGCAGCTGCAGTGTTTGGGGCAAGACATATGGTCTCTTTGTTTTAAACAAATACGAATCTCCAAATTAGCTGTATATAGAATATGTAAATCAAGCTCCCCTTTTCCCCTTCCCCTCAACTGCTTTGTAACAGGACTACTTGGAAGAGAAGAAAACCCAAGGGACAGGGATGTCCCACCCACATCTGAGCTTGGGCAACACAGCAAAATATTCGGCTTCACCTCCCTCAGTCACAGCTACTGGGACCTGAGGTTTCTTTTGTTATTTCTTTGCGGCAGTTTGTTGGATTTGGTTTAAGAATGTGTGGCAGAGTCTGAGGGATTTCTGAGGGTTCTTTCACCTGCTCAGAAATTTCAGTCTTTGCCACTCCAGCTGCCCTCAGCTGGGAATATTGGCCCATCAGAAAACTGCTTTTCTCCTGAGTTTTCTCACTCTGACTCTTCTTATAAAAAGAAGAGTGAAAAGCTGCTGAATCCAAACCTATTAAAAATAACATTACAAACCATGCCCTTTTTCCCCATGGCAAGAAAACTTACCTGTGCTTACTGAAGAGACTACAAACAGAAAATAAATGAACTTTCCAGCCAGGTACTGGGAGGTAGGTAGAGCCATTGTTCAGGATTTTTAGTTCTCTAGATGGATACCTGTGAAAAAAAAGAATATTAAGGAAATGTCACTTTTTTTTTGTTTTGTTTTCCAACTCATTCACTGCACAAAATAATAAAAAAGGAGGTTATATCCAGCTTTATGCCAGATCACTTCCACTCCCATTCAGCTTGATGGCTGAGAACACCTTTGCACTGCTCAGGGACCAGCCTGAATAGAGAGAGAAGCCATGGGTAGCTCCTAACCCTTTGTTTGGTTTAGGATAAACCCACTCAGGAATCCAAATAGACACTCAGAAAGCAGCCACCAGCTGTAACCAAAAACACCCTAGGAATGTGGTATAAACACATCCAGTGTCAGGACTCTCTAGGGCTGCATATTCACGCGTGCTAAAAAGTAATGAAACACAACAGAGGAGGCGTTTGCAGAGTGACAGATTTTCACGAAGTAACCTTTCGGTGGCATCTCTCTCTCCCCCAAACTACCCACACATTTTTAGCAATGGTGTTTTGTGTACCCCTGAGATAAACCGTACTCACACTTCCAACCTGAAGCCTGCAGTTTCTTAGATTTCAGATCTAAGAAAATATTGTCTGTTTGGTGTGCCAGCTCAGAATTTTCTTGCAAAACCAAAAGCTGCTTTTGAAACCAGTCTACCTAATGTTGTTTTTGTTTCTTCCATAGCCAACCCCCAGCAAAAACAAACAAGCAGTGTCATGAAAGTCAAAGTTAGAATTAATGTGATTCTCTCTGGTCTCCGGTGATTGATTCTACAGCTCTGCCTCAGGCTCATGACAATTTATTGACATGTGTATTCACAGGGAGGCAAGGACACCCACTTCTGTATTCATAAGGCACTGTTTAAAATTCACATGTAGTCCTTGGAGCCTTTAGGTTTTATCATATAAACCAGTGTCTGAGGAATATCAAAGACGTTTATTTGTAGCTCTCATGTCACATCCCACTGAGGAAACAGGATAAATGTATGTATCACACCACTTAGTTTGACGCAAAAATAAGTATAGAAAAAAATTCCAGGGTGCCCCAATTTCTTTAGGGCAAAAAACACATGTTATTTTTCATGTCGCTTGTTAATATAAGCTAAACAAAAAAAAAACATGACAAAATGATATGGAAGAAGCAAGGATTTCGTTGAGCAGATTTTGCAGTGTATAAATGCAAAACACGTCTGTACTTTTCGTAAAGGTGATACAGCTCAAAGTACAATGATGGGTTCAAACCACATGTAATTCAGCAATTGTATTAAAAATAGCATTAGAACCAGATTTTACTGGAAATATTTCAGCAGGAAAATGTTTGTTTGCTTTGGTATAGTGTATTTAACAGCCATGAGCTCTGGAAACAGCATAGACTCAGGACTTGGTACAGTCTATCAGGTGCTGAAATGCTGCTACAGAGCAGTAGAAGAGAGGAATGCACTTAGCAACGCTATAACTTTGAATGATATACATTATCAGAGAGCAATGCTGTCGCCATGGAATTTGTGCCAGAACCAGGCTGCACGTGTCTGACATTTTAACAGCATTAACCATCAACATTTGATAAACCAGAGCCCTTTTAAAGAAACATTATTAGAGGTATACCCAAAGTACAGCACTCACCATTAAAATGTCAAGATTTATTGGTGATTATTACACAGCCTGATCACTGGGTTCTGCTTTAACGATAGAGGAAGAACTAAACAAGAGGTAATGCCACAGGATGGTCATTGCAGATAAACAGTGTTTCTTAGAGCGTGGACACTGCTGTATGTTAGTGCTGCATAAAGCCAGATTCCAACTGGTAAGGTTTCCATCATAAAATACATTCAGATGATACAAGAGTTCACAGGAATAAAAAGAAGGGACTGATTTTTTGGCAGTGATGGCATGCATTTGCTCTCCTGTTGCTTTGTAGGAAGCAAAGAAATGTAAATCTCTTTGTTCTGGCCCATTACCAGCTCAAAGGAGCACCTCTGCTCTGTCCAGCTCATGACCTTGTTTCTGACACAAACCTGTGGCAAACTGGTAGGAAACTAGTTCAAGAAATTCCTCAGCCTTTGCTTTCTTTAGAGCCAAGAACTGCACAGCACTTACCATCAGGTTGTGCAAAATGGCTTTTGGTTTTATATCCCCAGTTGCTCACCAGGGACAGCTTCCCTGATTGCATCCATCTTCATCAGCAGAGATCAAAACAAGCAATCAGACACTGGAAAGAAATGTCATTTTTGGAGGCGTCGGCTGTGTGCCAAGGCTCCGATGTTTTCGCAGTGTCTGATCTGCCACAGTCCAAAGAATATCCTGCTTATTTTGTGACTGAGGTAGGGTGTTTGATTCGGCTCGCACCGAGCCCAAGTTCATTGCAATGTTAGTATTAATTGGCACTTGGGTTGGAAAGGCTGAGAGCCAAGAGGACCAAGAGGATCCGACTCCTCTGATTCAGCTCTGACTAACGCATGGCCGGAAAAATGCTGCTCGGAGGATAATCTCAGGAATTTTCGTTCAAAACCTCTCAATTAAACATGTTTCCCAAAACATTAGGCACAAGCAGTGACACGTTTGATTTTACTGTTCGGTATAAGAGGAGGAAGAGATAGTGACTCTTCTCATTACTGTCTGCTGCTGGAGCGGGCTCAGGAGCAGCTGTCTCCTGCCAGCCAGCGCTTCCTTAGCTCAGCGCTCGGAGCCGCGTGGGGATACAGCAACACGTTACATCTCGCTTGAACAGGCGCCACGTGGCTGACTCCAGCTCTGATGTAACCACCAATGTCAACAAATCTCCCTGCAGATTCGGGCACTCTGAGAGCATAAGGGCCATACAAGTGTCCGCCTAAGCCTATCATCTCCAGCATTTCTCAAATACCATCTGGGACTTCTCTCCTGGGTGAGAAAAGCATTTATATCTAGCCATTAAAAGCTGCCTGGCAATGGCAAGTGGGACTCATATCCCTGGATCTGGCAAGGCAGACTCTCTGAAATGATTCCCAGCTGCTGAATCTTTCCAAAAAGTGAACAATAGCAGCAGACAATGCTAAAAGTAGATGCAGGAAACCATTAGTCTTAAGCTGGCTGCTACTGCAGGTGTCAGCAATGATACTGTACTAGAAAGCACACTGCAGAGAGGAATCCCTATCCATTGCCCTCCCTGTGGTTTCAGTGCTAGAGGCAACACACAGCAGACAATCCTGAGAACAAAATGGTGAAGAAATACTCCAAGGGAGCTGGATTGTCACAGGCATCATGATGGGGTCACACAGACACCCTGAATCCCAGGGTCAGAGCAGAGCTTTCTGGAACAGTACCATCAGTCATTCAGAAACACACACCAGGCTCCCACCTTGACTTACCACCTTGCACAGTTCTGGGCCAACCACCCAAGCCTAACAACAAAATTTTTAGAAGTAACTTCCAATATTGAGTGTTTTGAAGTGCTTTTCAAGACTGGCTTGACACTCTTTGGGGGATGTACCTTCAGCATCTGCTGGAGATGAACTCCTTTCAGTATGTCAAGCAGGGAGCATTAACAATCCATAACAAACATGACAAGGACAGGAAAAAAAGCAGCAGCTGCTTAATCTTCCCTGACAAAGATATCAAACAGAAGCAAGAAACTGTGTGGCTCCTGCTGCTGTTGCCCAGCAAGAGAGACCACTGACCTGCTTGGGAGCAAAGCAGGGATCCGGTGCCATCCCCAAAGCACAGGAAAAGCTCACAGGAGAAAGGTGATTTTTAGCCTGATGAGGAGTGAACTCTCAGCAGACACTTATTTGCACAGCTACTTGAGATGCCCTGTGAGTAAAATCTGTGTGCCCCCAGGATCACCTGTGCAAGGTGAAATGCTCTGGGAGACCCTGATGGGTCAGTGCCAGGGCCGTGGGGCACCCTCATGCTCCAGGTGGCCAAACCCAGACCCTCTCACAGCCACTGCTGATGCTGAGGGTGCAGTGATTTGATAGCTAGGTCTGAAGCCTTGCTGCTTGTTTCCTCATGCATATGCAAGGATGCCAGCATCGATTTGGAAGCTGATCCTGAGAGAGGGAGGAGCTGTTTAATTAGCACCTCTGCTCCTTTTTGCTGACATTGCATGGTCCTCTAGCCCCAGCTGGGAAGGTAGATATGAGGTGCACATTTGCCTTTCTGACCCGAGGACATGCCAGCACTTGCTACAGTGACATTCCTGTACAGGGGGAGCTTTTGCACACCCAGCCAGAGGCACAGCTAAAACCTTCAGAAAATAAACACACGCATTTCTGGGGGTTACTAATGAAAATGCTTTTCAGTCCCAACCTGTGGCATCAGTGTAGCTGCCTCTGCTCCACATCTTGCTCTTACGCTTGCCACCCACACATCTGCTGCTCGTTTTTACTAGCAAGAAGAGGAGGATTAAACTCAGGAACAGACTTTAATTCTCAGTGAATCAATACTAGAGTCAAAAGCAGCACTCTGACTGTTTTTCCAGTGAACCTTGGTTTCTTACAAATTTATCTAATATCTTTCCCAAGAAGAAAGAAGGTTCTGCTCATATATTCTGTTTATAAATATCACTGTAAATTCCTTGATTCCAGATGCCCATAAAAATAGATTCTGAATGAGAAGCAGGAGATAGAGAAAATTTTTACAATTAACATATTAAAGAAAGCTAAGGTGTTTGCTAATTTGTTGCAATATTGGCACACTATTTTGAGACAGAAATAAAAGGGGGGGAAAGTTATTTTAAAGCTATGCTTTTATTTAGAATTACCCCCCCCCTTTTTTTTTTTTTTTTTTACGGAGTCTTACAGACCTTGAAAAGGAAATTTTGGCTTCACTAAAACAAAATCGTTTGCAATTCACATCACTCCACCCATCTGAGACTGACTGACTCCCAGTTTCTCGAGCTTTCAAAGTGCTTAGAATTTCAGCATTTCACTGAATTAAACCCTCATCCACTGCATGAAGTTTTCAAAGCAGCAAAGTGTTGGGAAGCTGAGCCCTGTTTGCTGAGGTTCAGGGTGCACTGACTCTGCTATGCCTGCTGACAGGCAGTGTATAGCCAAGCTCGTGCTTCCAGGGAGTGCCAGACCTAGTGTCTTCCCACTGCAGAAATACTCTGGGAATAACCACAACAGCTGTATACCCTAAATGCCTTAGATGTGTTGAACATGCCTGGATCAGCTGCAAGTCCACGAGGACAGGCACAGTCTGTGCGGACTCCAGCACGCGAGTGGGGATCCTCCCGCTCAGGGAATCTGCAGGAGGAATACGGCAGCTTCCCACAAACACAATGCAACACTTACCCCGCAGCTTCACACACACAGGCTCCTGGTGCATGCCAAGTTAGCAGCAGCCTTTGAAAACATCGTCTTGAATGTCATGTCCCAAGGGTCCCTGGAGGAACTGTACCCTCTGCAGAGCGTCCCTGCTTTGAAGGCTTTTTTCCCTCCCAGGTAAGGAAAGTGTGTGCAGTGGCTGAAGAGGATCACAGCATCCTGAATCCTCTTCAAACTGCTGCTTTTAACTACCCAAATAACTGCATCAGGATGTAAATATTTTTCTTTTTGCTTTTGTGGTACTTCACTGTTTGCATCTGGCTCGCCACGACTCCACGCCTTCCTCTCCAGGACATTTGCCATTTGCTCTCCTTCTGCGGCGGGAGGAGGAATAGAAATTTTTCAGAGGTTTAGGCACATTCCTCTCCTTCCTTCACCAGGCTCTTCCTTTGCCAATTGTTTAGTCTCAGCCTGGGGTTAGAACTCTGCAAAGTTTTATTGAGATCCAGGGTCTGGACATGTCACAGATTATCAAATAAATCTCCAAGAAGCTAAATGCTTGCTCTGTAAGTACTTGTTCCAGTGCTGGGCTTATGCTCACGAGCCAAAAACATCTTGCTTTTCTTCCCCTGTACAGCCTCAGAAATCATAACAATTAGGTACCAATAGGAGCTCAAAAGGACTTCAGGGAGCTCCTTAGAGGGTCAGTCCCAGATGCTCAGGCAATTGTACCAATCCTCATCCCCGTGATGTCCTGTGCATCACGCTTTATCTTACCTTTACTGAGTAGTATCAATGATTTCTTCACACTTTCTAGCAAGCCATGACCTCTCCCCTGGCCAAACCTGAGCTGCACCTCTCCTACCTAGTGTAGGGATGGAGCCACCATCTCCTTCTCTGCCCATAAACCTTTCAGATGTCCTCTCATCCCACGTCCAAGGACCACGGGCAGTTTGTGTCTGGTGGAGTCAAGCATCCCAGCCAAGGCAGTCAATCCCCACTCAGAGCACAATATCAGCTGGCCAGTGTGTGGATGCCAAAGCAACTAACTCACCAGGGAGCAAAAGTCTGGCCAACAAAACATTAACCTTTCCCTGTAGCAACTTGTTTGGCCGTTTCTGAAAATTCCAAAGAAACAACAGGACGTTAATTACAAAGCTGTTACACCTACCTGTTTGAGTAAGCCTTGAGAAGAAGACAGGGATAGTCTGAAATCATCTGCCCCTTCATTGCTGTCACCAAGTAACATCATGTTTAAATCAAAGTGAGTCTGTCACCATTTTGAGGTAACTGTGTGCTGAACTATAGTCCGTGAGATCATCAGTTGTTTCTCACTTTGCATACAAAGCTCTGATTTTGTCTTGACTTCAACCAGCAGCACATAAAAAACCAAAGAGAATTAGCCACTACTGCTGGTGGTGTTTCAGTCCTCAGTGGGAGCAGAAAGTCAATACAAGCATTGCCTGAAAGGAACTCAAGACTTTATCCTAAGCAGCACATACTTCATAGGTCTCTAATTAAATGTTTACATCAGTTGGACAAACATCATTTCACTAGTCATTAGCTTCAGACAGAAACACGTTTATAACTCCTTGTTGCACCCTATGCATTCAGTTCAGTTAGAAGACACTGTTGTAAGATCACTGCACACTGACCAAGCAGATGTTGTTCAGTTCACTTAAGATGCCATGGCAGATGAACACTTGGTTTTTTTTAAAAGTAGACATTAATGGAGCAAAACAGGACTGAAGGGAGAAATTCCCTACCTCTGCTGAAGTTCATCTGTTTCCCTGGATATTGCTAGAATTTCCATACCAAATTCCATTTCCAGTCCCAGTGTTACCAGAAAGCAGGCTCTTGCCTTTAAAACTCACCTTTTGATACCGAATCACACATATAGAAACACTTCTCTCCCCACAGGCTGCTCCTGTTCTGCCCTGAGATGCACTGGTTTTCAAATAAATCTCTACCACAGCGGATGAGAATATATTTATTAGTTATAAAACATACAAGTGAACACCATTGGTTTGGTACAACCTTGTAAGGACAGGAGCAGGTTTTGGTGAGGGTGGTGGGCTCTGCCTGGCTGGTGCTCCCCAGCAGTGCTAACCCCGGGGTGCCACAGCCTTTGCAGGGATGTGCTCTGAGCGGGTCTGAGAAAAAGCAAACCTTAGTGACTTATCAGCATTAGCTGGACATTGATATTCTTTCAGCTTCAAAGGAACATAATGCTGTAGAGAAGCAGCTTTCTGATAACCAGCATGATTAAGGACTTTAATCCAGGAGGGTTTGGCTTGTCCTTTATAACCAAGCATGGCAAAACTCCCTGAAAAACAGACACAAAGAGAGTGACCTTCTGGGTGTGTCAGTTCATTTAGCAGCAGCACAGCATGGACTCCCTCCACACATCATGGAAACGTTTTAGTCCTTCTTTTTTTTCCTTGGATTAATACAACGGAACATTTAGGAGAGAGAAAGGGTGATGAAAGAGGAAATGAGCCTCGCTGAAGCCATAATCTCGCTGCATCACAAATCTGCAGATATTTCAACAGGCTAAACTAGGTACCCAGATGTCAGTTATCAGGAATATTGTTTTACTGTTTATTTTTAAGTAACACTGGTACTTTTTTTCATATTTGACTACCTGAAAATGGTTAGACACTTTGAATCCTTCTTTTATTAGTTTACATCATTTCTTCCTGTTATGCCTAAACTATCCCCCGTGTCGACTCTGCTCTGGTCCTCTGCTGTCCCAAAGTACAAAGGCATTATGTATTCTTCCATTTTAATAATAATGTCTGGTGTTTATATTATGCTTTTCATTGCAAAGACTCCCAAGGCTATTTGCAGCTGGTTGGATCAAGACTATTCCCGTAAACACTTCTAATTTAAATAAGGTTTTGCAAAACCAGGAAACAAGACACTAAATCCTGATCCCGCTGGGGTCAAGAGGGGTTTTTTGCATTATCCCTGGCAGAAGCAATGTGCACTTGGGAGAAATGCTCCAGCCTGCCCTGAAACACAGCCCACCCCCCCAGTGAGGAGCAGTCCTGGAGCTGTGAAGTCAAATAGTGCACATACCTGAACCAGCAGGAGGAAGCTCATGGAGCAGAACATAATTACCCAGACTGGAAATCAGGGCAGACACATGGGTGAACACCCTTGCCCTTAGGAAAAGCAAAACAGGGGTGGCTTGTGAACAGCCAGCAGCAGCTTAGTCCCACTGCCAGCATCCCACCGAGGTGGCAGGGCAAGAACGTGGCCACCAACCAGCATGTCCCCAGGGGGGTGCTGGCCCTGCCTGCTGCTTTTTGTGCCCCAGGAGCAGTCGGGACTGCAGGCTGAACCAAGTGCCCAAACAGCCAAGCGAGTGGCACAGGTGGTTCAAGGGGTCAAGTTTGGCAAAACAAAGAAAAAAAGATCCCTTTTTAATAAAAAAATTCCTTTCAAAAGTATTCAGGGCTTTGATGAAAGAATGGAACAATGAAGTTTCAGGACAGAACCAAAAAAACCCTCAAACTTTTGCTTTTCAAAGGATGAAACAAGAAACAGCTTCTTGGGAATCAAAACAGGCACCGAAGTGAAATCACTGCCTTTCTTGTAAAGACTGGCTGTCCTCCCCTGGAACAGTCATAGCAATGAGCTTTGAAACTTTGACCAGAAATTGATAGAAATTTCAGTAAAGCAATAGGGAAAAAAATCCTCAAACTCCAGAGAAAAAAAACAAACTGGAAATACAGCTAATTTTCCATCTGATCTCTG